CCTTCCACACCCAGCACCACACTGGTTCAGTTCAGCTGGGGGTTATGAGTTGACCATTAATTAATCCACTACACAAGTCATCAAATGTCTCTGTGCTGAGAGTATCTTCTTCGTGGCTAAGTGCATTGCTGAAGCTAGGTGGCTCTTTACCATTTGTAAAGAGCTGATCCTGCGTACTGCTGAGGACATTTGCCATGAACTTTTAGAAAAAAATTTAGTTCAAAAAAGGCATGTGTTTCACTTTTGTATAGCACCATAACTTGATGAATTGATAAAATAACATAATATATTGACAACTGTTGGAGGGGACTGACAATTAATTATGGTACTTATTCCAGGTGAATGAGTATAGCAAAGTTGACAGCAAGACAATGATACTTACTTTTTTTTTTTTTGTCTTTTTCATTTTTATTGGTATCGGGGATCAAACTCATGACTGCCTGCTTGCAAGGCAGGCGCTTATGCCGCTGAGCTAAATCTCCAGCCCCAATGATACTTACTTTTGTGCAGTAAACTTTTGAAGAGGATGTACATGAATATATGTTATGTGTGCTTTTGTTATCAACCAACACCTCAGATGCAGAGCTATTCAAACCTTTGAATGACTGAATATCATTCAAACTTTAATCATAATGTTTCAAACATTAGTCAAAATAAGTCATTTTATATTCCTATACGCATGGACAGAGTGGCTGCCATGCCTGGATGGTTTTCTAATTTCACTATTTAGGTCTTCTAAATGTGAGTTTACACACTGTGTCACCCATAGAGAAACACTCTAGCCAAAAACAAAAATGCTGCAAGGACTTAACGGTGTATCACAGGATGTGATTAAAATCATCAACCACATCAAAGTGCACGCTCTTAGCTCGTGTCTGTTTATGACTTCTGTGAGAAGACGAATGTGGCACACACTGTTTTTCCTCTTATACACAGAAAGGGAGATGGCTTTGTAAAGGTTTCACTGGCCAGAATTTTTTAGTTCAAAAGATTTCCAGCGATTTCTTTTAGAAAGACCGAAATCATTAGCAGCACATTTCAGTGACACCGAATGGGTTGTAAAACTTGATTACTTGGATGATATACTTAACCTACTCAACAAACTTAATGTCCTTTTGGGGGAGAACAACTATATCCAAGTCTTTAGAAAAAGTTACTGCATTCAGAGTCAAATTGGAATATGGGGGCTGGCTAGTCAACTTTCCTAAGTGCTTGGACAAAGTATGGACACCTACAACTTAAAGGAGGAGAGTAAAGACTTATTTTGGCTCACAGGTTCAGTCCATGTTTGGCAGACTTAAACACAGAAACAAGGTGATGGAGACACACTGTGGAGGAGTGCTTACCTCAGAGCAGCCAGGAAGCAGAGAGAGAAGGGGAGCTAGGTGGGGAGACAGTAACCCTTTTATGTCATACACTCAGTGACAGGCCTCTTATAACCTGGCACCACCTCCCAGTAGCATACCTGAAATCTGCAGTGGGTGAGTAGGTTGCCCCATGATCCAATCACTTCCAAAAGCCCTGTAGACACATGCATGGTGTTTTGGGGAGATATTCTTCATCCAAACTATAGCAGTGGTTACAAGTACAACTGGGATTTGTGACACGTTTCAAACATTAGCTATAATTGGGGTCAAGGAGATCCCTAGTCACAGCTTCTTTACTCCTGCTTTGATATGTCAATTCAAAGGTCAAGTGTTCAACCATGAGTGTTTTGCTGTATCACAGTGTCCTACTTCCTTGCTAGGAAGAGATTTACTATTAAAATTTGGGACAGTTATTCAGTTCCAGCCAAGGCTAAGGCCACAATTTATCTGTTGAGACTACACCATATCTCCTTGACTTAATTCATCAGCAGGTGGATCCTGCTGCATAGTATCAGGAAGTATACCACCAAGACTCCCAATTCTTGCTTGCTTTTGAATGGGAAAAATCTCATCTCATAAGAAAAGCAAAGATATCCTTGGACAGCTCTTCCACATGGATTCTGAGATAGTCCCCACCTTTTTGTTCAAGCATGGGGACAGGAGCTTACATAGGACTTCCCTACAGCATGTAGATGATATTCTAATGTTCATCACAAGTAGGAAGTTTTCCAACTATAATACCATGCAAATTCTCAGAATTCTACGTGATGGATGTGACACTTCAAAATAAAAGGCTAAGTATTCAATACTTAGGATTATACCTGGGGTATGACAACTGTCTAGTTTCAGATTCAGGCTATCTGTGATCTAGGCCCCTTTCATTCTTTCCTGAGGATGGCCAACTTCTGCCAAATCTGGATACCAAATTTTGGACAGTGGCAAAGCCTCTGTGTGAGGCGATCAAAGGTCTTGAGTTCTGAGACTTTTCAACGAAAAAAGTCAATTGACAATGTTTGGGGGGAAATAAAGCATGCCTTCACTCATGCCCCAGCATTAGGAATACTTGAATTAAGAAAACCCTTCCTCTTCTATCTATCAGAAAAGAGAAATTGCTCTGGGTATCTTGCCCCAAATGCTGGGTCAGGACCACTGCCCAGTGGCATACTTTTCAACAAAGTTAGATGGAGTGTCTACTGGATGTCCACACTGCTAAAAGCTATTTTGGCTACAACTAGGAGGGTCTTGGTAGTTTACCTAATACCCATCTGTGCCATGCTTTTCTCTCCAGTGGAAGTATGACAATAAAACTAACTGGTCAACTTCTCCCAAATAATCACACAGGTTCTAGTTTCTGAATCTGTCATGGGCCTCTTTTAAGATAAAAAGGGAAATGTTCCAATCTGTTCCACAAGATGTTTTGCTTTTTGACCTTATCTTCCCAAAATCACTTGGTTCCTTCCTCTTATGGGACTTCTCATGGTGATCCTGTTCATTCTCATATCTGGCCTCTGCCTCCTCAACCTCATAGTAAAGTTTGTCCATCAAGTTTCAAAAAGTTCACCTTCAAATGATGGTCCAGAAGACAGATCATGATCTTTCCTACAAATTCACCAAGCTTTCTCTCACTAAACAGGCAGCTCAACAATTCCTGACACACAGGCACCAATTCCTTTCTTTTTGTCTTCCGAGAGATTTTTACCAGCCCAGTCAGTACAAATCCCAAGATAGTGAAAGATCACATCATCTCCAGCAGACATGGCCAACAGTCTCCTTCAGCATGAACCAGATACAAGCAGAAAGGAACTGCCACCATCATACAAAGAACTATGTGGATTATGTCTCTCAGGAAGAAAATGAGGTAGATTAGAGCTGGGCCAACCCAGTCAACTAACTGGGCAGAATGTGTCAAAGATCATAAAAACCTACGACTAACAAAGAAAGAAGTTTCCTAAAAAGAAAAGGCATGCCCAGAACACTGAACACAAAATGATGTCAGACTTATTGCTGAGCACTATGGACCAATCAGAAATGCCAACTTCAATGCTCTTTGGATTTAGTATTGTTTGTCAAGCCAATCAGAAAATGCTCTTTTCAATCCTTCATTTACATCTAGTGGGAAACCAAGCAGCCTTTTGGTAAAACAGCTTAAATCTGATGCAGTGCCAAGTGAGTTTTTAATAGGACAAATGTATTTGCATGAGGAGGAAGCCAATCCAGAAATTCTGGGTGCAAAAGACTCCTTTCCCTTATCCTCAAGACTTCTGAGACTTTTAATGAGCGCAGCCTTGCCCTTTAGGGTGTAACACTTTTCCACCTTCAGAAAAGGTATACTTTCACTGCCTTTAACGAATAAACAACAGAAATTATTTCTTACAGTTCTGGAGGCTGGAATGTCCAAGGCATTGGCAAACACCATGCTGGGGATGAGTCTCTTCCTGCTGTATAGACAGCCACCCTTCCCTGTTCTTTCATGTCGCCATCTGGGGCCCCAATTCATGAGGGCTCTGCCCTAAGCCCATCACACTGAGCATCAGGATTTAACATATGAATTTTGAGGAACAAAAATATTTAGTCCATGGCAGTGAGTAATTCACATTTTCTGTAGTTCAAAATAGCATACTCAATGGCTACTCCTCTAGTTTAACCATTGGGTTTTGGGAGCTGACATACAATATGTGAAAAAATTCAGGACCAAGAAATTACTGAATTCTGATGCTCATGTTTATGTGTGTTCCAACAGGTCCAAATGTTGGTGGTTGTAGCCCATTCATACTGATCTAAGGCCCATATTCTATGTAACCACACTTGCAAAATCACTTATTGCATTTTAATATTCCACACCAAATAGCTTTTAAATTTGGTTTTATGAACGTATGATATATTGCATTTCAATAGTTCCTACAAATGAAATACCCTCAAAAAAAACCAGCTAGAAATACACATTATAAAATTCACATGTAAACCTATCTTGGTAAATTAAATTAGGTCAAGTTCCATGAGCTTTAGGCTAGGAAACCTTAACACCTATGGGTTTTTCAGGCCTCTGGGTATGACCAGCCCTAGACTGTGGCCTGCCTTACTGTGAGGTTAGCTTCTCTATGTGAAAGAGAACACTTGAGCTACAAGGACACCCCATAGACTTATCATCTCTTTTCTAATTTGCCATCTCTTTCTTTTATCCCAACAAATGCGTTTTTACTCAACAACTAATTGTCTGACAAGATCCCAAAGTGCTCCTACTATGGAGCTACATAAAAGCAGAAGATGATGAATGGTAAGTGTGTTCTGGCTTGGTTTGGTCTAAAGAGATCACTTCTGAGAAACACTTAAGATCAGTACTTGCATATCAGAGATGCATCCTGACAGCTGGGGTTTATTGGCACAAGTTCAGCTTTGTTCTCTTTTATGTTCATTTATCCCCCTGTATTTGTCACCAGTAATTGCTCATGCAGAGGGCAAAGCAGATGACAAAACAGGGCTGAAAAGAGAGGGGAAGAAATTCTCTCCCACTAATTCTAAGAAGAAAAGATCTGCTGAGATTTGTTTTGTGGTTGTTTGTTTTGGTTTGGTGTTCATTAAGTTACTTGTTTAAGCAGTTCTTGGGTACTGCTAGGATGTAATGACCCACTAGCATGAAGTTACATACCGTCATTTTTATTTTTTTTATTTTGAGACAGGGTCTCCTTAAGTCACCCAAAGTAACTTGAACTTGAGATCCTTTTGCTTCAGCCCCCCAGAGTACTGAGATTACAGGTACAGGCCAACATGTTAAGCTGATCTTTTGTTTTGTTTTGTTTTGTTGTTTGGGTACCGGGGATCAAACTCCTGACCTTGCCCTTTGCAGGCTGGCACTAATGCCACTGGTGCTAAATCCCCAACTATTTGGGTCTTTTTTAAGGCAGGATATATTTATTGAGAGAAAGAAAGGTTCTGTCTGAGAAATAGATAGAAGAGGGCCCAAGTGGGTTGCTGAGGACCCTGCCTTTCTAGGGATTTTTATAGAGCAAAACCATGAGGTGAGGTGGGTCCAAAGTGGGGGAAAACAGGAACTCACAAGGTGGGCATGAGGTGGGACAGAGGTATGGTTAACCAATAAGATCAATTGTTCAGGTAAGACTGGTTAAATCAGAGACAAATGGAGAAGCCAGTCATGTAGCAACTGGTACGCTTAAGGAGCAGTGACTCTTTCTGTAAGGGGTTGGGATGGTGACTCCTGGCTTCCCCAAGATGATCCAAACCTACTTAGAATATCAATCTTTAAAATGTTGGTCTGTCTCCTTCAAAATCACAAGACATCTGATTTTCTGCACTGGCTCCTTCGAGGGCCTAGCCCTCTCTGACTGCCTATAATATTTAATTAACTCCAGCTGCCTTTAACATCCCCCTCTCTGAATAAGTATCCCAAACTGCCATGAGGGAGAAATGGGCGATGACCCATCTGGCTTCTTCAGACTGAAAGAGGTCGTAGTTGATTGGCAGTCAGAGATACTCTATAGAGGATCTATCTAAAGGCCCTTGATAGACATCAGGCATTTTTATCATGGGTAGGTATACAGCTTTAAGTCTGAAGGAGACAAAGAAACAATTAAGTATGCATGGGCCAAACAATAGAATCAACAGGACAATTATGAGTACTGTTAACAAAGATTCCCACCAAGAGGAGCTAGAATCTGCTGTTTTTTGGGAGGTTTTTTTGGTTTTTGTCTTTTTCTTTTTTATCGGTACCGGGCAAGCAGGTGCTTATGCCGCTGAGCTAAATCCCCAGCCCCAGGATCTGCTGTTTTAATGGCCACTACTATAAGGATTTCTTGAATGCTGTAACTACAAATGACTTCATGTTTGGGCAGCAGTGTGTGTATAACCAAATTCATAACCTCTTTGTCTTAGAATATAGCTATACCATATTTTCCATGCTTCCCTAAATTTGACAGAAAGTAGACAGCAGTGGTATAAGTCATTTCCAAGACTGACCCACATAAATCTATGTTGATCATCCTCCTCCTCATCTTCTCCACTTGTCAGTTGATGTCCATGTCCAGGTAAGACTGAAATCATATTTGATGAATTGTGGAGCCTCCAAAAATCAAATCCTTAAAGGAACTCTTCTAGCCCACACCACTACCCCCATTGATTGGTTTACATAAAGAAATGAAATAAGGCCCCGAAAGGTGGCAGGCAGCATTTATCCTGCATTGGCACCTACAGTATGCAATAGCCCAGCCTTTCTGGTCATCTTCCTTTAACCTCCTCCTCTGATTACTGGTAATAACTGACACTGAGCAGAAGAAAACTGATGGAGAAAAAACAGTCGTTACACACTAGCAGGCTGCTACAGCTTTGGAGAAGGGAATTTAAAGGAAGTAAAGAACACGCATGCCTAGAATGGAAATGCTAGCCCAACCAACAAACATTTGTTAGTCATGTTCCCTAAGGCAGTCATCCCACCAGGTGGTAGGAATATAAAAGTATAAGCCTTCATCTTTACCTTAGAAAATGAAGTTTTGATTCTCAATGGCCCAACTAAAAATGAAGCATGCTATTTTATAGTACAAGGAAAAATAGTTGTTGGAAAAATGCCTTCAGGTCTTTCTGTCTGTCTACCTGTTTTCAATAGAGAACAGCATAGCTGTCAGTAACCCAGAATGCCTATCTTCTAGCTTAGCAAACGTAACCAGAAGAAATCAATAGCTCCAGCAGCCAAGTCCGAAGAAGGATGCTGACATGCTGCTAGGGTGCTGGGCTCCCTTCAGATTGCGCCCCATCCTCATTGGCTGGGTGCAAATATTCTGCAAAGCTAGGATCACATTTCTCCTTCCTGAGATAATGAAGGGGTGGAAGATGCAATGGGACTTGGGAGGAAAGGAGATCTAGACCATATCACACATAAGATGAGTTTCTGGCTGTAAGAAAAAGGAAAGGATGTAACACAAAAATGATAAATGTTGGACCAGGGATTTAGCTCAGTGGCATAAGCACCTGTTTGGCAAGCTCAAGATTGTGACTTCGATCCCCAGTACAAAAAAAAAAAAGATAAATGATCATTGCAAATGTCTTTTGTGTGCTGTGCCAGGCATATTTGATATTTTTAATGCATATTTGATTTTTTAAAAACCTAAAAAGTCACCTTATAACAAGACATAAGGGGGCCAGGGCTTTAGCTCAGCAGTGTAAGTGCCTGTTTGGCAAACACAAAGTTGTGAGTTTGATTCCCGGTACAAAAAAAGAAAAAAGACATAAGGGGTAAATCGGTATTGAAAGAGCCATGCTGCCAGAGCCCCCTAGCCCTCACCCCTTCCTTGCACCCCAGTCCCTACCTACTTGCAAAGCCAGCAAGTGCCCACAGCCTCCTCTGAACACCAAGGCCCACCCCACCTGTCCATGGGGCAAGACGGCAGGACAGCTAAGTCCCTAGCGGTCTTCAGACAAGTAGGCAAATACCCCAGTTCCTCCTGCCCCTCGGGTGGGGCAAGCCCCTCTGTAACTTCTCTCTTCCTCTATTTCACTTCTGTAGCCCCTACTGATGCTTACTGGGATTGTCCCTCAAATATAGTATGATTGAACTTGAATCTTTGTTTCAGGGTTGGCTTCAGGAGAAACCCAAACTATGACAGCCAAGCACTGTGAGGAACTGTTTACATACATTACCTCCTGTCATTCTCACAACAATCATGAAACTGGTACTCTAATTATGCTGTTTTACAGATGAAGAAATAAGGCCCTTGGTCAAGGTCACATAGCTGAGAAACAGCAGAGTCAGGTTTCAAAGCAGATTGATTCCAACACACACTTAATGGCTATTCCGGCACCTGCCACTTCAGAGTTTCGCTGCAGACATCCAGCTTCCATGGATTCTGTTCAGGACAAGCGAGAGCTCCAAGATCACGGAAGGGGAAGCAAATAAACTCGAGAAACTACTGTTGTGTCCTGCAGACTCTGAAAGGAAAAATGTGACTAAATGAGTGGTGAGCCTTGCAGATTAGTTTTGGTTAAGTAACACAGGGCAATTTTTAGTTTTCAGCAAGTGCTTCGTGTTTTCGTTCCCTTCATTCTTGAAAAGAGAAGCCGTCACTTGTGAGAGGTATTTCTCCAGAGTGAAACAGTCCCAGACTCAATGCAAATGGCAATCTTTCTGAGAAGGAAAGAAATTGGACTCAGTTATGCTCTGTTTCATGTTAGAAGAACAATACATGTTATTGTTTCAGAATAACAGCTCTGACTTTACAGTGTACATATTCCCATTTATGGAGGACAGCTTAGACACAAGTTTGCCTAAGACAAAAGGTAAGGAATCTCGTTTACCTTTTCCATTTTATGTGAACTTAACTGCTTATTTTTTGATTTAGTGAAATGAGCATTGAACCAAGAGTCAGAAAGCCGAGTTAATGGACTAGTTATCTTGTTCAATAATAGTCTTTTCAGAAATACAAGGATACTGACTTAGTGATATCTGAAATCCTCTGGAAGCTATATTTGAGTATATTAAAGATAGAAAGAGAGAGAAAGAGCCAGGTATGTTGGCGCACACCTGTAATCCTCACACTTGGGAAGTTGAGGCAGGTGGATCACTGTGAGTTCAGGCCAGCCTAGACTACAAAGCCTGAACTACAAGGATCCTATCTCAAAAAAAAAAGAGAGAGAGAGTATATTGGAAAGCGTATTTATTCTACCATCTTCCACTCTTTTACACTTTACTCAGCATGTTTCATATGATATGGAGAGGGTCTTTCTGTGCCCCACCCACCACAATGTTTATCTGTTCTGTGCCTGCCAAAGGAAATATCTCCTGCATTTAAATCTTGACCTCCAGGCTTTCCTTTAACCTAAGGTCTCCTATGGGGAGAAGCTTCAGCAGGTAGCATTACCTAACTCCTAGCAGTTTTCATAACATGTTTTCATACTGTTGAATAATTTAGATTTTGCTTTAAAGTATGAGACATAATGAATAATATTTTTTTTGCAGACAAGGAAATGGAAGGCTCAAAGGGGCTAGAGAAACTACATTAAGTCAAGTTCGATTTCGAACATCAAGAATTATCCCTCCTTTCATTTTTGAAGTTTACTTGGTCAGAGAGTCTAAAGAAATTATTTTTGTTTTTTGTATTGGGAATTGAACTCAGGGATTTTACACTGAACTACTTGCCCAGTCAGCCCTTTTTTATTTTGAGACAGTCTCATTAAATCACTAAGTTGCCCAGGATGAGTTTAAACTTGAGAACTTCCTGCCTCTGCCTTCCAGAGTGCTGAGATTATAGTTATGCACCACCATATACAGCTAAAGAAATTGCTTCTAAAGATATTGTAGATTTCAAAGATACAGTGTGATTTTTTATTTTTATTTTAAAAAGAATAAAGCCAAGCAAAACAAAACAGAATAAATCCAATCAGAACAAACCAGTATAAGTGACACAGGACTTCAAAACATACAAAACCAACAGTGGTTACAATAATGCCTCCTTGTTGTCTTCAAAATACCTGCAGACATAGTAAAAATCAAACAAAACAGAACAGAATAGAGTCCATAAAATCAAAACAGTGAATGTGATAAAGGACTTCAAACAAGATAATAGTAAATCCAAAATGGCTACCATAATGTATCTTGCTATCTCTGAAATAACTGCCCATGTCATCAGGTATAATAAAATCCAACAAAATGACAGAACAAATCCCAGTCCAACAAAACAATGAAAATGAAACAGGACTTCAAAATGAGATAATATGGCATTAGCAATGGCTACCACCTTCAGAAAGAGATCCCCCATAGATGCTATATTGCATATTGTTATCCTCTGAATAGATGATCAGAACACTGGGTTAAAGCCTACAAAGTCAGTGAAACACTGAACACTGCAAGCATTAAATTATATTTTACCTTAATAGGCTATCATTACAGCATGTGTTTCTTGGGACCAACTGGTTGCTTATTGGTGGGGGAGGGGCTCTTCTTGTTTCCCAGCCTACACACAGGAACTGGCATCTGGCTCTGCTGCCAGTGGTCCATGCATGGCACCGATTCACAGGGAGGGCTTGCTTCTTGGTGACTTCTTGCTCTTCCCTTGCAGTCCACACAGTGTGACATTTTGAAACACATATATGGACTATGTAAATAATCAAATCAGGGTAATTAGCATACAAATCGCATCAAACATTCATTATTTCTCTGTATTAGAAACATTCAAAATCCTTTCTTCCGAACCATATAATTATTTTGAAGCATATAATAAATTACTGTTAACTATACAAAACCAAAATGTATTAAAGATTTCAATTTAAGATCCATACCCATAAAACTACTAAAAGAAAACACAGGAGAAAAGTTCCATGACATTGGTTTCTGTGATGATTTGGGGATATAAACAAAGGATTTTGGTCACAGGGAACAAAACTTCAGTTAGGAGGAAGAAATTCAAGGGTTATATTGCTAAACTGGTGACTACAGTTAATAACAAAGTATTATATTCTTGAAAAGTGCTTAGAGTAGATTTTAAGTGTTGTCACTACACACACAAAATGGTAAGTAGATAAGGTCACACATATATTCATTAGCTTAATTCAGTTATCCCAGAATGTATATGTATTTCAAAACATAGTATATACAACATATAGCTGCAATTTTAACTTGTCAATTAAAAGTAAGCTTAAGATAGAAAATGTTTAAAAAATTGTATGAACTCTGACTTCTATTTTCTATTTAAGTGGAATTATGGAGATAGATGAACATCTTGGTTATGTTTTTGCTTTGCTTTGTTTTGATCAGTATAGCCACTTGCAAACACAGAATGTCTTTGGTGGAAGTTATCAAATCTTTAGACTGAGTATCCTCCCTAATGTATTGTAGCAATTGATTGACAGTGGAAGATAAAATGCTTTTCTGAAGCTATGGGGACAGGTTACCTAGTAACCATAAAATGACTAAGTTCTGTTCTCAGAAACGGGCTCTCTTAATTGGATGAAAAGATTTAAAGAGCACAGCTGGGGAGAAATGGAAGAAAATGGAAGGCAATTATCAGTGGACCTAATATCTGCAGACCTGTTAAATCATGAACCAAAGGTTATAGTACCAGTGATTTTTTTTTAGTAAAAAGAAGCCAGCTCAGTCACCACAGACTTTTGTCCTTTTATACAAGTAGGAAAACTGAAAATAAAATATGAAGTTTAAAAGTGTAGTAAATAACTATGTGGTTTTAAATTTCTGAAAATGATCATTTTCAATGAATAAGATTACATTTGTGTTCTGATATCAGAGTTCTAGTCCAGAGACCCACAGTGATCATTTGGGGTCAGTATATCCTATTATCACTCTCCTTTTTCTAATCTACTTTATTAAGCACATAGAGAATTATAACCATATCTGCTTTATCCTGCTTCTAACAATGAAATGAAGAAAAATCAAATTATGGGCTGACAATAATGAAGATTAGTTTCTACCCACTAAAGGCTTTTAGACAATAGAGTATTTTTTTTTCCTGTGCTTGAAAAAGAACCCAGTACACATATCATTAACTATAATTGGAAGAGCTTTACTTTGGAATCATTTTGTTGTTGTTGTTGTTGTTTGTCAGCTGCACCTGAACAAGATTTGAGAGTTAATATTGGCTCTGCATCGCTGTTTTTCTTATGGGATGGAGTTTAAAATTCAACTAAAGCCCCATCTAGTGACAAACACCAGATTAATCTATTACTTTATAACACAGTACCAATAAGCTCTAAACTTCCATTTCTCATTTAATTATTAGATAACTCAACAGCTACAATATTTTGATTGGGGAATGACTCAAAAATAGTCAACAGCTCAACTTATTTCATTTTAAAGATAATAAGGAGCTGGAGATTTAGCTCAGCGGCGTAAGCACAAAATAATACACAACAAAACAAAACAAAGCAAATCAGAACAGAACAATGAAAACAACACAGCACTTCAAAATAAGACAATGGGAAATCAGCAGTGGCTACCATAATGTATCTTGTTTTCTTTGAAATAGTTGTGCATGACTTCATACACAATAATATCAAGCATAATAAAATAGTATAAAACCAATCAAAAGAATGAAAACATTACAGGACTTCAAAACCAGATAACAGGAAATGAAAAATGGTTACTCTAATGTCTCATTTTCTTCAAAACAGTTGACAATACTATCACACATAATAAAATCAAATAAAACACAACAGAATAAAATCAAAACAAAAGAATAAAATCATTATATGACTTCAAAATAAAATGATAGGAAATCAACAATGGCTACCACAATGTCTCATTTTCTTCAAAATAGCTGTTCATACCATCACACATAATAAAATCAAATAAAACCAACTAAATGAATAAAAGCATTATAGAACTTCAAAATAGTATAAAAAGAAACCAACCATGATTACCATAATACATCCCATTATGTTCAAAATAGCTGCCCATATGTAGTAAAATCTAACAAGACAGAACACATTAAAATCTAACAAGACTGAACAAAATAAAACCTGCAAAATTGTGAAAACAATACAAGAGGTCAAGACAAGACAATAAGAAATTAACAGAAGTTACCATCTTCCCCTCCTAGGTGTTTCTTCCCCTACTACTTTTGTAATATCTATTGTGCTTTGTGGATCCCATTAACTCCTTCTGTTTGTTTTGCTAGGGTTCATCCACATGAGTTCAAACTGTTTCACCTATGAACATGATCTCCAGTCGCATCCATTTACCTACAAGAGCCTCAAGATTGTTCTACTTGATAACTGCCTAGCTTTCCATTGCATGACAATACCATATGCTTCTTATCCATCCTTCAGATCGTGGACAAATTACTCTTGCTTTTTCTCTGGTCTCCTGTCACATAAAACAATTTTTCTCTCCTTCAATTTTCAGTCTATGAATTTCCTTAAGTTCAATGTGTTTCTTGTATACAGTATATTGATGGACCTTGTTTCTTGATCCACTCTCCCTGTATTTCTTTTTTACTGCTGAATTGAGGCCATCTACATTAATGGTTACATCCAGCATACGATGGCTCATCTCTGCCATGCTATCCTCTTGCTGTTGGCCCCCCACTTGTCCCGTGCATTCAATTGCCTGTTCTACTTGGCGGTCCTCCTCTGTTATTGTTGTTGGAACTATGGTCAGCTTTCTCTCTCTGTAGAATGTCCATTAGCACTCTCTGTAGGGTTAGTTTGGTGGTCATGAATTCCTAGTTTGGTGGTCATGGACCTACCTCAACAGAGATGAGTCCCCATTGGAAGGGTGTCCTTAGGAGTTTACTCTGTAGTAACCTCAGGCCAGCTGTATACATTTGTCCAAGATCATCGGCTCACTCCTTGGAACACAAGAGAGAAGGATCTTCTCTTTTATTTACATACATAGAGTAAAAGTCAAGGACAAATTAAATTGTATTTATATGTTCACTGCTAAAATTATGGAAAAGTAGATCCCTATTTGCATACATTCTTGAAAGAAATGGAACAAAATTCCAATGGACTAATGAAATGAAGAACACCCTCCATTTTGTCTTCTCTCAGTTACAGGATCCCTTTCCTACTTGAAAGAAAAATCTATTCTTATCCTAAAATCTACTTTTATAAAAGAAGTTAGTATCATCTTTGTATGAATTAAATGACTGTGTTTCCTTTCTGAGTGCTGTTTGCCCTTAAAGGTTAGCTCTAATTCAATTTAACAAATGCTTATGGGAGGCCTATTATATGCAAGATATTTTTAAAGCTACTAATAGTGGACTTTGTGATTTAGAAAGGGATTTTCAGCAATAATGAGTAGAAAGGGAAGTTTTTAAGGATATCATCTGACTTCCTGCCCCTGTTCCTTATGAATGTAGTTGGAGCCAAAAGCCATGAAACACACTTCTATATTTATCATTTTGAATCTAGTTTGCTTTTTACCCTACATCTCAGGGAACCATGCGTTCAGGTGTTGCTGTAATTGGGTTTATGGTTTGTTTCTCTTTCTTTGTTGTAGGGTTCCTCACTTTATCCCTTAATCCTGAATCCCCTGGCTTGCTGCTATTCTTGAATCTTAGAAGATAGAAAGCTAACATTCATGGAATACCTCCTTTTATTTGCCACTGTACCTATCAGTAGTTGTAACCACAGTTAGCAGCATCACTGACATTTTAGAAAAGAGGGGCCTGAGGCTCAGGGAGCTACAGAATCTAATTCAAGATTAAACTGATATGTGCCCGGAAACTCATAATTAAGTTCAGCAAATCTGGCTCCAAAGGCAGTATTATTTCCATTACAGCAATGGTTCTTGATTGTCTTGCGATTTTGCCATTCATTCCCCCAAGGCAACAGGTGGCACTGTCTAGAGGCTTGATTGAGAGGCCAGGAATACTGCCAACGTTGTACAACGCACAAAAATGGCCCACCCCTCCCCAAACCAACAATTAAAAACCTAGCCTAAACCTTCTAGATAATCCGTGTTGAGAATGTTCTCTGCCCCATAGTGATCTTATTTCCACGCATTCACTAGAACATTGCAGACAAATCATCGTCCTGGTTCTTTGCAGCTCTCCTCCATAGCAAATATAAACGGGGCAGAGCCTTAAGGTAAAAGACAGGCTCTAGAGGCGCAATGAGCAGCAAAGAAATTCCAACTGATGATTGAAGTTAGAATTAAGATGTAAATATGAAGTTTTTTTCACACGCCAGTCCAGAGATTTTCACTAACCCAGAGGCTCACGGACTGCTTTTTTTTTTTTTTTTTTTTTATTTAAGGAGAAAAGAAAAGAAAGAAAAAAAAAACAGTGAAGGGGTACAAGTTATACAGATTTACAGGAGAAAAAAATGCGCAGTAGGCAATCACTAGTTAATGGATTACATATTGCTATCTTAGAAATAATTGTTCAAGTCACAAAAGTAAAGCTTGTAGAGTGGACATTCCAACAATGATACTGCAAACAGTTCTGTTCAATGATCCAATAAAACTCTGTGATATCATTTTCTATCTTATACATTTAAATATACATGCAGTTATATAGTTTAGAGCCCTTTCTTTTCCTCTCTTTTGTACAATGACTATTACACATTTTGGGTTTCATTGCTCCCACGGACTGCTTTTAAATTTAATTATTTGAGCCAGGCGCGGAGACGCAAGCCTATACAAGCGCTCAGGAGGCTGCGGCAGGATTGCTGAGAGTTCGAGGCCAGCCTGAACTGCACAGCGAGACTCTCTCTTTAAAAATTCTTTAAATTTTAAAAAATTAATTATTTGGAACTGGTTAAATGTTACCCTGATCTCAAGAAACATTTGTGTTTGACTTTTTTCTGGAACCCATGGGAAGTGGATGCCAGATGAGAAGACTCCTCCCATTCTCCTCCTACAGGGACACAACCTACCAGGTGCTGGGAATTTGGCTTCTTTTTTGGGAGGGCGGGTGGAATTTGGCTTCTGACAGGAGCTCGCCCAGGGTACTACAAACTTGAAAGCCCGGGGAACAGCCAGCCGCTGTGAGCACTTTCCCCGCCCTCCCACCTTGCGCGAGACTTGCGTTCCCTGGGGGCGGGGTTACGGCAGCGTACGTCTCCTGCTCGGTGACGTCATAATCTCAGCGCCTTGGAAACGACCCTTAGCAACCGACCTGGTGAACGTCTCCCGGCAGCCGCGGCTGCACACCGCCTCCTCTTTTTTCCAACCTACCACCAGGGGTGGGCCAGGCCTGGGGAAGGACCGAAGGGGACCCGCTGTGTCCCCGAGTTGGCAGCAAGAGGACTGAGCATGGATGGCACCCGGAGAGGTAAAGAGCAGCCTTGAGTCGGGGCTGCGCGGGTAGAGGCCGCCCCCTGTCCCCGGTTTATTTGCCAGCTTTGCCCCAGCCCAAAAAGACGCCCTGCTTGCCCGGCTCCAAGGGCAGCTTCCTGGCCGTGACTGTCGCCTGAGTATAGGGTCATGCAGCTTTTATTACCTCGGTAGCTTCGAGGCAGAGGAATCGAGCTTGAGCTTTGCAGTCCGACACCCCTGAACCCAAAATCAAGTCTCACTGTCCTCCACGGAGATGGCCTTCCATGTCTGCATCTCTTGAATGTAGGATTTAAATACTGTGCCATAGAGTTCCTGAGGATTAAAGGTAGAAAATACGCAGGAGAAGGGCATATTTTAAGCAATCAGTACATATTAAATCTCCCTTTCCGTCACCAGCTCGTTCCCTCTTCCCCCAAACTACTCGTTGCCCATAGCTGGTCTCTTTAATGTGAATAGAAATCTTATTAAAGTGCAGATTGTGAGTCAGTAAATCTAATGGGAGTGGGGCTTCCAGTAAGCTTCCACGTGATGCAGTGTAACTGCTCAGCGGACTACAGGGCTACAGTTTTAGTAACAGAACTAATCCATAATCACAGTGTACACCTGCCTTCGACTCAGTAGTATAAGTCAGATGGATATTCTGGTAGAGTGATTGGGCCACTTAAACCAGAAACTGTTACAAATCACCCCATTGCACCCCTTCTAAACATGTAGTATTCTTTGCTCAAGCCAAATAAGGAAATCCGCACACCTCCCTTCCTCCCCAGTTCAGTGTTTTTAACCTGTGTAAGTCAAGTTGCTAGCTGGTTCCTTGAATTAAGTCAAGGATGTGTAGTGTATACCTTTATTAGGTAATCAGAATAAATGCCGTGTTGACTGTAGGAGAGATAACTAGCTGTTGATCAGTAATCTGGATACTATGACATTCCTAACCTAAGATCAAACCTACAAAAACCAAACGAAAATGGTTTCATAGCCTTTATAAATCTTAAAATAAACATTAAATCTTCACTGTGGCTTGGTTTGGAGGCACAGTGTAATCCCAGTACTTGAGAGGCTAAGACGGGAGGATTCCCACAGAGTTTGAGGCCAGCTTGGGCTACACAGTGAGACCCTCTCTCAAAACAATGATAAATACCATTGCTAGGTGCCAGAAAACTATTCCCAAATTATCTCATGTAATATTCAAAAAATCTTAGAGAAGTATTATCCTTACTTTATAATGAGTGAAAGAAAATGAGAAATTATACATTACTTGCCCAGGTCACAGGTAGTACAGGCTTTGAATCCAGCGGGATAAGAATGTAAAACCCTAGAGCCAGTGATTTTTATTTTTATTTTCATGACATAGTAAGGATGGAAGCATAGGGAAAGAACATATGTATTAAAGTAATAGACCTAGTAGATTCTCAGTACTTGTTGATTCTTTTAAATTTAGGCTCATGTCAATATGTAAATAAAAGGTTTATTTTTTGTTACTTACCCAGTTTATTTGGCTTCCTTTTAGGATATGTATATAATAATTTTAAACATTGTTTCTTTGAATTTTTAAAATAAATTTTCGACAAAAACCAGGATAGTTTTTATCTACCATAAGTTATTATTTATGAGCAACCCATTATTTTAACCAAAACTTAAATGTGTAATTTTAGTTGGAAATTTCTTAGATTTCATTAGGTTACTTTCAGTTATTTCAAATCACAAACGATACCTGAAAAACAATTACTCTTTATTATTTCTTACTGTAATATTACAGACATTCTTTTATAGGTTAAACTTTCTGAATGGTGGTGTAGTAGAAAGAGCTCCAGCCTGAAAAATGGTAGATTTTGGTTTAGTCCTTTTTTGCTGCTAACTAGGTTGATAAACTTTGCCAGTCACTTTCTCTCTCTACACCTTAGTTACTTGTGTAATGGGGCTTAGAGGGTGGGGACTAGATAATTCACAAGAAGTTATTTTTGATGTCTTTGTGGGAACAGGAAGAAGAAAAGACAGAATACCAAACTGCTTTACATTCTAGTGTGGACCTTTGAGGAGAAAGGATAGATACTGAAAGCAGCGTGACTTTTTTTTAATTTGTTGTTTCCATGAAGATACTTATAAGTGACAGTCAGATTCCCAAACCCCTGGAATTCTTGGGAAACCCTGCTACAAATAAACATCATCTTTTCTCAGTGGCATTCCTTCTGGAAGCCGCTTTCACAGACAGTCCTAAGGAATCTTACTACCCTGGCAAGACTTACTACTCTGAAGGATGGAGTTGTTTTTCCCTGGCATTTGGTTTGAAACTTCTTCTCTGCACCCTTTTGTATCATGCTGGGTCAAATTGAGGTACAGAAACTATATAGTGATTTAAACAAGGAAAGTTTAAAGAATGGCCATAGAAGAGTAACTGCAAGGTCTAAGAAAACACTATATGGTAACCTAGAACTAAAGGACGGTACTCCAGGAAAGACACGTTTGCAAGGGGGCATCCTCCCAAATGCTGGGTTTCAGACCTCATGCCCAAAGTTTTGATTCAGGCAAAAGCACCAAAAGTTTTACTTTGGGAAATAGACTTCAATAAATTGTTTCAACAGGTCACTAAGTGAACAATGAAAACAGCCCTAGGAAGTGATTCTATACCAAGTTGCTACTGTATGTTACCTAAAATGTTCTATTTTCAATAAAAAATCATGAGTCGTATAAAGAACTAAAATATGACCCCACATACAGACAAAACAGAGAGGGCCCAGAGGAGTTGTCTGTTTCTCCCTTCAGTTCAGTCTTGTCTTTTTTTTTTTTTTTTTTTTCCTTATGGTACTAGGGATTGAACCCAGGACCTCTGTGCTGAAGCTATGTCCCCAGCCCTTATTTGTTATCTTGAGACAGAATCTCACTAAATCACTACACTGCCCAGCTTGAGTTTAAGCTTAGCAATCCTTCTGCCTCATCCGCCAGTGCTGGAGTTACAGCCCTGTGCCATCACATCGAGCCAAAGCGGACATGTTCACTCCCTTGACTCAAGGGAAGGTTTCTGTGACCCTTTTGAACCTTTCCATTTTCTAACCTGCAAACAGTATTCCTTTGTGCTTCATGCTTTTAGGCAAAATCTAAATTGTCCAATGAAAATGTGTTACGAAATATCTACCTAGTACAATTCTGTCAATTTTAACATGACATTTATGAGCAGAAATGTTAAAAACCAGTGACTATATCTGTATGTATATAGTAAGTATACCATTGTTTGCTCACGGCTGCCTCTTCCCAAGTCAGAGAGGGTGGGGATGACATTTATTCCATCTGAGGGAATAACATTAGGTTTCAGCCTTTTTAACTTCTCTGAATGAACCTCTTTTACCTTTTTTTGTGGCCTCTAGTAAAATATGCATGCATTAGGATGGAATTTGGGGATGATAAGTTACATAGAGCTGAACTGTCTTCTTCCCTAGAGCATAGTTCTAGTACTGATGAATTTATATTGGTCACAGTGGTGTAACAGATAAGACTCGAACCAGATTGCCCGTTGTGTCATAGTTGTATAATCTGAGCATACTGTGAACTTAATCTCTTTGTACTTTATTCTCATCCAGAAATGGAGAGAATAATAAATAGTAGGGATCTCGTAGAATTGTTATAAGGGCTAAATGAATTTCTTAGAACAGTGTCTGGCACAGTTAGTATTCAAAAAAAATTAGCATTTTTGACTCAAACTGTTTTGAGCTAAAATGGGAATTTGTTTTGGTTTACTTAAAAAAAAAAGTAAGGAGTATAAAGTTTCAAACACGAATAACTGCAGGTACTCGATGTTATCAGGAGTATCCTGTGTCCACTTTGATCTGTGCAGGCTTCAATCTTAGACAGGTTCCCCTACAGCATCCAAGAAGGCCATCAGCAGTGGGCCTCTGCTTACCTCTTTTACTGGGCATAGCAAGCCCAGTGAGGGCTTTCCTAGTAGTTCTAGTAAAAGTTCCAGGACTTGTCTCACTGGCTGGACGTGGATCGATTATTCATAGCTGATTGAGTCAACACAGCTGACTAGATTTGGATTCTCCACTCAGCTCTGAACTGTAGGATCCATTCTCTAGAAAGCAATGTGAGGTGTTTTCTAGATAAAGAGACTGAATTCTGAGCAAGCAAGAAGTCATTTTCCCTCGTTTGATTTTCTTGAAAGTTCACTTGTTGAGTATATGTTTGTTTTAATGTTGAGCAGACCAGAGTCTTTCCTGACTCTAGTGACTTCTAATCTATGGCTAGAGAATTTTTGCTATCTGGCAGACCATTGTTGACTGATTGAAAACCTCTTAAATGACTATCTAAAGATATTTATTCTTTTAAAAATACTCGGTAGTATTTCTTATGGAAGTTGTGTTTCATGTATCCTAATTTGCCTTTTTTTGTTAAAAGTCAGAGCAAGCCCTGTCCTTCCCAGATGTAGTCCACCATGCCTGTTTAAAGGGCACTTGAGCACCAAAAGTAACGGTGAGTGGAGGACTTAAAATGATCATTTTGTTATAATACTCAGTTTTTTGTACTTGTAAATCATATGAGATGATGAAACAATTACTTCATACACCTGAGCATTATATTATTATAAGTGAATTTATTAGTGTTAAGGTCATGATTTCAAACGATTAACAAGCCCCGAACGTGGGCTCAGCTGCCACCTGCTTCTTGCCACAGCTGCAGCCCAGCTCGGCTTTTGCCTGCAGACTGCTCTGGTTCGAGGCGAGCCGTCTTGCCAGAATGGGGGTTACCAGGTGTTAGAAACGCCAGCGCCAAAACTGAAAAGCTGTGCAGGAAAAAGAGCACTTGAATAACAGCAACTGTTGGCAGGTCTCTTTTTCCTACTGGGTTTCCAGGTCCTGTGATGTTTTTTTTATATTTTGAAACTTTCAAAGTAAATTTTTATTTAATGTTTACTTCAGAGTTTTATAATTATACTTGAAAATTATAAGATTGGATTTTTAGGCAAAATAATTGAAACTTCTTTACCTGAAGTATTCTTTACTTTCAAACATGAAGGATCATGTTTTCTGTTATTTTACTTATTTTTTGTATTAGGAGATCATACACCAAAATGATGTAAGTATTAAATAAAAATTTGAAAGTAGATTTTAAATATAGATGCATAGGAAAGCATGATGAAGAACAACACATGAAGTTTGCTAACTTTTTCTTTTTAAGAAGGTAAGTGCATGGGCTGGGGATTTGGCTCAGTGGCTCAAGCACCTGCCTAGTAAAAGCCAGGTTGTGAGTTTGATTCCTGATACAAAAAAAAAAAAGAAGAAGAAGAAGAAGGTAAGTGCAGAGCTAGTGTAGCTATAGTGGTTGTAAATAGGAGACTACCTTGGTTTACTTCTAAACACTAATCCAGTAATGTGGTCCAAGACCTAATTCACAACTCTGTGCCTCAGTTTCCATTTCTATTAAGTGATGAAAATAATGACTAGATAAGTCTTTACTTGTAAAGAGCTTGACCAGTGCATAGCAAATGATATCTATTCAAGAAATGCTTTTAGTAGTAGTAAAGCTCATAAGTATTGTATGTGCTTGATTATGCATAGAATTTCCTTAGAAGGACTGATGTTTTAATAGTAGTAGTATTTATCTGGGAGAAGAAACTAAGGTTCATTCTAGGAAAGTCATTTTTCAATTTCTGCATGCAGTTTCAACTGTTGGATTTGGGGGGGGGTTGTTTTTAACCTATCATATTACCTCTCAAAAGCTGGGGTTTTTTCCTATTTTTATTTTTAGATATTTAAAATTATTTTTTTAGTGCGTGTTTGCAATTCACATCATTTACTTCACCTTGGGGAGTGGTGACATGTAATTACAGCTTGTTTTCTTTTTTTAATCCTTTTTCCCCTTCCTTCCCCGCTCCCTTCTTCCTTGAGTGCCCCAATCACCTTTTGCATACTTGTTGATGTTATTTGTCTTGGTTCCTGTTATGGCTTATAGTATTTACATTAATTGGGGTTATTAGGTTCTTGAACGTGGCCTATCTATTCCTCTCCCAAAAGATGCTTTTTAGTGGCTAAAAAAGTTTAAAAAGTTAAGCCTATATTTGCACCTCTAATATAAATGTTTAATGAGTTCTGTATTTTCTTTAATTTGGATGAAGGTCAAGAATTTAATGCCTTGGAATTCTTACTTGTCTTAAGATAGGCCTAGTACTTAAAAAAGACTGTAGTAAACAGATCTGTAGATCTTGTTTTCAAGTATAAAGTTAGAAATTTGCCTCTCAGAGTAGAATCTTTATAAGGTTTTATGCATTGTTAACTTTATAACTTCATGGATTGTTAAATATATAGTAATATTTTATAATCAAGCATGTCACTAAAGATTTTTAAATACAATATTAAAAGGTATAAAAAAAATAATGTTTAAAATATAGTAATAGATTATAATGTAGAATCTCTTTCTCAGATTTCCAGAACTGCAAAACTAGTAGCATATTAGTGTTTCCAGCACAAGATTGAGGCTGACATACTTGGCATCACAAAGATTGAATTCTAGGACGTTGTTTAGGGATGCATTTAATAATCGGTAACTTGTTTGTCTCGTGGTGATTATACTAATTTTAAGTATATATATAATGTTTAAATATGTTTTAATTTTTAGCTTTTTGCACTGACTCCTCTTCTCTCAGACTAACCACTCTCCAGCTGATCAAGAATCACATGGCTGTTCACTATAATAAAATCCTTTCAGCCAAAGGTAAAAATGTGCAAATGTCATCTTTCTGTACCCAATTTAAACCCCTAATGTCACCTCTCATTTGGATAAGTCTGTGGCAAAAATTAAAACATTATTCATGGAGGAATTTGTTTGGTATAGTGAGATACCAATTATTGGCTCTATGTGTGGTAAAATCAGAATGTCATCTTTGTTGTTAGTATTTGAAATTCTTTATAATGCTTAGGTTATTTAATTTTATCTGTTATTGCTGATATTATTTTGATATAAGATACTGCTTTTAATGTAAGTTTGTAATCTGCTTTTTTGTCTTCAAATCAACCAAAGAAGTTGCACAAAGAAGATGCTACCTATTATTATTCTTTAATTTTTCTTTTGCTGCTGGCTTTATTAAAAGATAACTTAAAACAATAGAGCACACTAATTATAGTTATATATTTTGAAAAATATATGTATAATTTCTATCCCACATGGTATAAAACAGGCACAGTTTAACTACAGCTCACAGGCTGGATACCCCTGCTCCTTGTTTTTGTACAGCTTGTGAACTAACAATGCTGTTTATATTTTTAAATGGTTGCAGAAAAATAGAAAACAATATTTTGTGACATCTGACAGTAGCATGAAATTCTAATTTTAATTGTAAATGCAATCACATTCATTCTTGTAAATATTGTCTGTGACAACCTTTGCAGTAAATGGCAGAGTTTACTAGTTGTGACAGACTGCGTCACCCTGCAAAACCTGAAGCATTTACTCTCTTTACAAAAAAAGTTAGCTGACCCATGAAATGAACTATTTCCATCACCCAGAACCTCCCCGTAATCCTTTAAAGCCATGCCCCCCGAGAATTCCTGATAGCCAGTGACCTACTCTTTGTCACCACCATTGTTCCTTTTCAAGCATTTCATGTAACTCATATCATATAATTTGTATCCATATGAGCCTGAGTTCTTTGGCAGAACACCCTTGAGAGACTACTCCATCTCATAGTTTTTGTTAGTGTTTCCTCCTTTTTATTGCTAAGTGTATTCCATTTAGTGTATCTACCACAGTTTGTGTTTTGATTCACCAGTTGTCAAACCTGTGGGTTGCTTTGACTCACTTTTGGCTATTAAATATAAACCTGCTAAGGCTGGGGATTTAGCTCAGTGGCATAAGCGCCAGTCTGGCAGGTGCAAGGTTGTGAGTTCAATTCCCTTACAAAAAGAAAAAGAAAGAAGCAAGCAAGCAGTTAGAAACTGTCTTATATAATGGGCAGTGTGTTTCTATTTCCCTTGGGTAAATTTATTTGCTAGGAGTGGAACTGTGAGGTAATACGGTAAATTTTTTTAAGTCATTAAGAAATGACTAAATTGGGCCTGGGGATTTAACTCAGCGGCATAAGCGCCTTCCTTGTAAGTGTGCAGTCATGAGTTCGATCCCCGGTACCGATAAAAACGAAAAAGACCAAAAAAAAAAAAAGAAATGACTAAATTATCTTTCAGAGTGACTGTACAGTTTTGCATTTCCGTTACTTCCACATCCTCACCAACATTTGGTATCGGAAGTCCTATCTAGTGTATCTGTAGATGTTGGGAGCTGCTGAGCTGGTGATGGTTCACACATGCAGAGTGAAATGCACATGTGCCTGATTGGGGTGCCCCAAAGTAGGGAATGCCTGAGAAATGCCCTGAGGGCATGGAGGGCTGGAGGGGAACAGGCGTTCCAGCCTGGAGAACAGTGGGGTGGGGGGAGAAGCCAGCTGGTTAGCAAAGGGGTCTGGTGTGACAAGGGTCTAAATAAATGCTTTGCAGTGGTTGAGCAGTCTTCCTCCCATGCGGAGAAAGGGCTCTACCTGACCCCAGCTTTCTGCCTCTGTGTTTTCTTCATCCTCTCATTATTCTTCCCCCCGAGAACTTAGCTCTCATGGGCACCAACATGTAGTTAATATCTTTTCATTATTTTAATTTGCAAAATTTCCCTGGTGTGCCTAGTAATACTGAGTCACTTTCCTTATACTCGTTTGCCATCTGTATATCTTTTTTGGTAAAATTCCTATTCAAACTTTTGCCTATTTTTATATGAGGTTTTTATCTTTTTAGTATTAAGCTGTGAGTTCTGCATACATTAAACGCAGGACTTACATCAGATGTATTTTTTGTTGTTGTTTTGGAGGGGTTTTATTTAGTTGGGATTTTTTGTTTGCTAGAGCTTTTGTTTGTTTTGTTTTATTTTTTGGTACTGGGAATCAAACTGCATTTTGCCAGCCAGATGTATGTATTGTGACTCTTTTCCCAGTTTATAGTGAGTCTGTCTGTTTCCTACCACCCTAGTTTGAGTAATCAAACCCAAGGCCTCATGAATGCAGGGCAAGCACTACATACAGCTGAGCCACACACTGGGCATTCCTTTTTTTTTTTTTAATTCTGGAATAATTTTTAGAGTTTATTTGTCTAATCTTGGGTCACTACAGTTTTCTCAATTTGTTTTCTTCTAGTTGTATATGTTAGCTCTTATATTTAAATGTGTGATCCATTTTGAGTTAGTTTGTATTCTATGATACAAAATTCGTTTTTGCCTGTTTATATCCAAACTTTCCCATACATTTGTTAAAAAGATTATCATTCCCTCCCTGGAATTACTTTGGTACTTTTTGAGATATTTGAGCAACTGTATGTGTTTCTTTCTGGACTTAATATTTGAATGTGCTCATCTATACATCCATCTTTATACCCAGGCCACATTCCTTTATTACTGCTACATTACAGTAAGCCTTGAAATCAGGGAGTGTGAGTCCTCCATTCTTGCTTGGGTTGAGACTCCAGCTACAAATATGTTAAGGTGCATGACATAGGTGTGTTATAGATCAGTGATGCTTTGTCTGTTTCCTTTTCAGTCCTTCTGTTTCAGTTTGAGTAATATTGCAATGCTGCTTCACTCATTTTTTCTTTTGCAATATAATGAGCTAATCCCAGTGGTTGTTGAAAAATTTCTTCCCAGTGTGTTTTTTATCAAAGATATTTTGTTTTTCATCTCCTGAAGCACAATAAAAAATCAAACAAGGAACAGCATATTCTGGAACATTTTGTAATTTCCATTTTGATGTTTATTCTCATTTGTGAATACCAAAAATATTATTAAACAACAAAATTTTTCTCTTTCAGCTGCTGTAGACTGCTCAATTCCAGTAAGCATGAGTGCCAGCATCAAATGTAAGTTACGTTTTGATATCTACCTTTTTTAAAAGATTATGGTAAAATTTACATCGCACAAAGTGTAGCATCCTCACCATTCTTAAGTGTTTATTCCAGTGGCATTTAGTACATTTATGTTTTGGTAAAACTGCCACCATCACTTGTGTCCAGAACCATTTTGTACCAGTTAAATAAGTGCCCCAGCCAGGCCCTGGACCCCACTATTCTGTTTTGTATCTTTATGAATTTGACTCCTGTCCACAGTCTGCTTTCTAAGCCTGTTAATTTCATTATTCTGAGTTTCTCAAATAATTATTCTTTTGCATCTGGCTTATTTCACTTAGCATAATACTGTCAAGGTTTATTCATGTCATAATATGTCTAAATCTCCTGTCTCTAAAGCTGGATAAAATTTCACTTTGTGTATGTGCCACGTTTTGTTCATGCATTCATCAGTTGACGGATACTTGAGTTGCTTCCACCTTTGGCTGTTGTGAATAATGTTGCTATGGGTATAGGTGTAGAAACATCTCTTTGAGATCCTGTGTTATGGTTGGGGTCCAAAGTATCCCCCCAGAAAGGCTCCTGTGTTCAAGGCTTGGTTGCTGGATGGACTTTGGAGAAATGATTGGACAATGAGGGCCTTAGCTTTAGCTACAGATTAAGCTACTGCTGACAGAATTTGGTGGCAGTATTAGGAAGTGATGGAAACCAGGTGGAGCCTTGTTGAAAGGAAAGAGTCATAGGATTGTGACCTGGAGGACCGTATCTGGTCCCTGACCATTTCCTCACGGCTCTTTGCCTGTCTCTCTGCTTCCTGGATACCATGAGGTGAGCAGCTTTCTTTACATTCTACCAATCACACATAACTGTTCTAATTTCTCCATGTCATTTCCAACACTTGTATTTTTTTTCTGTCTTGCTAGTAGCCATATTAGAGAGTATTATTATCTTTTGAGAAATCTATAAGTAACAGGAAACTTTTGTATTTCTAAATTTAGGATCTTGGAACTGAACCTATAACTTGGCACTATACTGCTGTGTGACTTTGAATAAACTATTTAATAGCTTTGGACTTTGTTTCTCCTATATGTAAAAGTCATTAATGGATCTAATGAGGATAAGCTGTGAGAGGAGAAAGGGGAATGAATGAGTCCAGGATGGCTGTCAGTACTTAAGACCTGGGAGAGTTACAACTTACGAGTAAGGAATGTGATAGGAAAGGATTTGAGAGAGGTGAATTGGGAGCTCAATCTTGGTCATTTTAAGTTTGAAATCACTACTTGTTAGAAATCCAACTAGTGATCTCCAAGAGTTAAGAGTACAAGTCTGGAGGCCAGGAGGAAATTCAAGACTGAGTGAAAATTTGAGAATTGACAGTATAAAGGTAATATTTAAAGACTTGCTTCCATTTTTGGTTTTAAATTTAGACCTAGTATGCATATGATATTTTTTGCTTTCAGTCAGTTGAGCCATTAATTGCTTTCTTCTTTTGCTAGAGAAAAAATGTCTAAACAACAAAACCCCTATGATAGCTAGAACTAGAAAAATTGCAAAGATTGTTATCTTTAAAGTATAACTAATTATCGTTATCACTTCTCACACCATAGAGCTGATGTTCATTACTGTCAATTGGCTAACTTAGAAGCAGGTTTTATAACATGTAAAAAAGAAAAGAAATCTGTGGATTTCACTGTCTCTGGTTTTTGTTACTGTTTAGTTGGTTTTGTTTTATTTGTAGAACCGGAGATTGAACTAGGACCTTGTGCATGTTAGCCAGGAGTATACCACTTAACTACAATCCAGTCCCTTTTTCCATTTTATTTTAGGACAAAGTCTCACTGAGTTGCCCAGAAATGGCCTTAAGCTTTTGATCCTCCTGCCTCAGCCTCCCCAGTAACCACATCAAGTTCCCATTTCTGTTTTCCCTACACTTTTCTGTCAGGGTGGGCTGATGAGTTCATCATTTCAATCTTCTTAGTATCAAAACTGGTATATAATTGTTTAGTTCTGTATTGTAATATGTTAAATAGACTTTACTATGTTTTTGATGATTGGAGCATGTCCTTTTAATCTATTTTCCTTTTCGAATTTAATTAAACATTTACTCATTTTTTTAATTGACATCAAAATGTATGCATTTATAGGATACCAATAGAGGCTTTACTTTTTAAAGCAGTTTTATTGAAAAATAATTACATTACTGAGAGTGCAACTTCTGGGTCATATGGTAATACAGTAGTCGCCTCTTACTTGCTATGTTCTATTCTTACTGCTGTTGTTAGTATCTTACACTTCCTAGTTTATAAATTAAATTTAATCATAGATACATATAGATCATAAAAGACAGAGACTATATAGAGCTCAGAACTATCCACAGCATCACTCATTCACAGCGGGTCTTGGAGTGAACCCCCTGAGATGAGAGGACTACTACAATATGTGGACTTTTTTTTTTGTCTTTTTGAGACAGTGTCTCACTCTGCAGTTCAGGCTGGCCTTGAGCTACTTCATAGCCCAGGGTGATCTCGAACTTGCAACAATCCTCCAGCCTCCCAAGTGATAAGATTACAGGCATGTACCACAATGCCTGGCTGTGCTTAACTTCTTGAGAAACCATCAGACTATTTTCCTGAGATTTTTTGGTTTTGTTTTGGTTATTTGTTTGCTCTGAGACAAAATCTCACTTACTATGCTGCTAGGCTGACCTTAAATTCCTATATGCTCAAGTGGTCTCCTACCTCTGCCTCTTAGGTAGCTGGAACTAGAGGCCTGTGACATCACATCTGACTGTAATCTCATTTTTAAAGTCATATTACATTTAATATTTTACAAGTGTATAACTTTTGATACTATATTTCATTTGTGGGAGAAGTCTGTAGGCTAATTACACTGTAGTCAGTGGTTACACAGTCATGAGCAGTGAGGTTAAGCATTTCAGATCTTTATGTATCTATAAATATCTGTTTGGAATTACTTTCTAATCCCCTTGGTCTTGCTCAGTGTGTCCCATCCTGTTTGTGCTTTTTGATCAACTCATTTAGGATTTCTATAAAGTATCTCTTTATACAGAGATACTTACATAGAGGCCGGCACAAGTACCTGCCTGGCAAGAGCAAGGTTGTGAGTTTGATCCCTGGTATCAAAAAAACAAAACAAAAATACAGAAAATATATATAGAGAGATTTTATTTACATATCATGATATAAAGATTTTTAGTAAAAAAAAGTTATTCCATTAGTTTAACAAAAATTACTTCTATTTTGTTCCATATTTTTAAAAGCGTGTTTTCCCATTTAGATGCAGACCAACAACGGAGAGAAAAACTCAAAAAAGAATTAGAACGATGCGAAAAAGAGTTTAAATTAAATAAAACTTCAATTCAGGCTAATTCTAAAAAACGTTTGAAGTCAATTTTTAACACTCTCCAAAAGGTAAGATTGTAGTTTTACTGTCTTAAAAGCAAGTGTTTCTACTTTATTTCTGATGCAGCCTTACTTTTTACTAAACTTTTGCTGTAGGTTAAGGTGTGCAAATGTTTGCTACTGTTAAAAGCCAGATGGTTAAAATTTTAGGCTTTTCAGGCCGCGCGGTGTCTGTCAGAACTGCTGTCTCTGGGGAGCGTCCATTCATCGATGATACATAAAAGAACTGGCTTAGCTGTGTTCCACTAAAACTTTATTAATTAAAAAAGGCAGGGAGCCAGGTTTGGTCTGGGTGTTATATTTTGCTGACCTTGGCTTTTGGTTTTTTGTGCTACCCTTTAACATTTAATTAAGGAAATTTTCTTCTGCTTCTAGTTTGCTAAAAAGTAGTTTTTCTTTTTTTTTTTTTTTTTTTTTGGATATTTTTCAATTAGACTGTATTAAGAAATTAAATATTCATATGGACAAGTGTATAGCCTTCTGCTTTTTTTTAAATGTAGTACCATTTTATTTATTGGTTCAATTTAGATATACATAATGACATATTCATTATAGGGAATTTGTATCTGTGCATGATATATCATGTTTCCTTTTCCCCCATCCCCATGATTGAATATGTTTTGTTTTGTTTTGTTTTGTTTCGTTTTGTACTGGGGATCAAATTCACAACCTCACACATGCCAGGCAGGTACTTGTGCTGCTGAGCTATTTCTCCTGCCCCATGAATGAGTAATTTTACCCAGTAACTTTTTTGCATCACTTAGAATGGTAATATGACTTTTCTCTTTCCATCTGCTAATGCCGTGCATTACGACACCTCCTAATGTTAAATCTGCTTCCCATCCCTGGTAAACAGAACTTGCCTGTAATGATGCCTATGACGAACTCACATATTCTAGTCACACAGGTGCAACCAGCTCATGACCAGTTCTTTTCAACTGTATTCTCACCCACTACCTCCATCTTGGATAGGCACTGTAAAGTTTTACCAGAAACATTTCAGGACAGACAAGCTGTGATCAAAATATACGATGAGTGACTAAATGTTTAAAATGCTTTGCAACAAAAGACATGTTGCCATTAATCCAGGTCAGAATACTTCAAATGTTTATCCCGTGGTTCTTGCTACTTTCTGCACTTTATCTTATCCAAAAGGCTAAGAAGCACTTTCTAAAATAGCTCTTTTGTGATTGGCTGGAGAGTATGATCCAAAATAAAAGCACTCAGGAGGCTGAGGCAGGAGAATTGCTACAAGCTGGAGGCCAGCCTTGGCTACAAAAAGAGGTCAAGGCCACCCTGAACTATGTAATGAAACTGTCTCAAAAACACAAAAAAAGAAAAAGAAAAAAAATACTGCTGCTGTGTGCTATCGGATGGAAAGGCAGGCTCATGAAAACATTACAGTGTGCCCTCATCCACCTTGTTCACTGGATCTGGCACCGTAAGACTTCTGGCTCTTCCCTAAAGTCAGAATGTTTTAAATTTATTCAGAACATCAAGGCAGCCACAGCAGCACAGCCAGACACTCATGAAAGAGGGCTTCCAGAACTGCATCAGAAAGTGGCAAGAATGATAGGCTGTGAACTTGTGTGGGACAACATGTGACCTCAGATTCTCAAAGGCCAGCAGTCCCTTCCTACTCAGCGCCAGTGTTCAAAAACAAGTTTCCTTCAAGCCATCTTGCTGGGGAATAGCCATGGAGAGGTCCCAGATTCTCCAGCATGGGGTCAGTCCCTGAGCCTTTTATTTTTCTATCTCTAGCACCGTGATGTCATAAAAACTGTTTCCTGTTTGACTGCAGCCAGTTTTCCTGGGGTGCCCCTCAAATCCCACGTGCTGTAGCTTTTACTCAAGCTCTTTCCAATGCAAATGAAAAAGTGCCGTGTATACCCAAGCAGGGGGAAGACTTAGAGTATTTTTGCCGTAGAAGCAAATCTGGGTTTTTGCTCTGAGAAATGTGGGAGAGCTGTGGACCAGACATTAATTGGGAATTTATATCATACCATACTGGCCACAGTAAAGCTCAAGTTAATTATGAAAAGGTCACAGTAATATGGGAAAGAAAGATTAAGACCTGATCTAAGGCAGGACAGAAAACACAAGGAATACTTTTAAAAGATATTTTAGGATCCCTTGGGGGCTGGGGATTTAGCTCAGCGGCATAAGCGCCTGCCTTGCAAGCAGGCAGTCGTGACTTCGACCCCTGGTACCGATAAAAAGGAAAAAGACAAAAAAAAAAAGATATTTTAGGATCCCTAAAACATGATGACTGATTTGGTGACATATGAAGGTCAAGAGGGCAGGTAGAGAGTCCCGCCTCTGTGTTCTGGGCATCTGAGGAGGAGGACAGTATGTCAGTCATTGAAATAATGGGGACAGGGCCAAGGGCAGAGGCGTACATTCAGTCTGAGTTTACTTGTGTGGGCATGTTTGATGAGATACTTCTGGAACATGTATTGTAATGGCGTATTCATTAAGTAGCTCATAGAAGCAGCTATGACAGGAAGGAGACCTGGGCTGAGGATAGATTGGGAGTCTTCAGGGGATGCAGTCAGTATGACTGAGAAAACCCCCCGCCCCCGGCCAGGCTGTTATATAGATGAAGGGACCAAGAATAGAGCCGCTGCTTTTAGATAAATCTGCTTTCTGCTCTGTACTATAATTCACCATCTGGGAATCTGTTCATCACTGTTTGACTCACAAATATATTTTCATTTTTAAGGATTTTTTTAAACTGAAAGTTTAAAATACTTCTGTTTTTCCACATTTTTGAATATAAATTAACAGTCCTTTGAGGTGTGAGGTTGAAAATTTTTAGATGGTATATTTTAGTGTATCTTCATGCATTTTGTGTACCTATAATGTAAAAATATATACTTATATATTTAATACATATGTAAATATAAGATCCTTTTTATTCACTTTTCCTTCAGTGCCTGTAACTTGTTTGCCTCTGTAGAATAGTTCCTTTATGCTTTTATGTATACTTCTATTGACTTCATTTAGAATTCAGAGTAACTTGCAATTTATACACACTTTTGACAAGCCTTGATGATGTGTTTTAGAAACATCCAAACTGTCTTCAAACTATTATTCTGGGAAAGACATCTTGATAATTAGATGGGCGTTTGGTTAACAAACACCAGTTGTCTGTACTCGCTGAGAAGGTTGCTGCCATTAAAATGACAGCGCCAGCGTTGGCCCTGCGTGTCTTAGCCATTCCGGTACGAGGAACATGTGCCAGAAACTCTTCCTGTTTCTCGCCTGTGCCCTGGGCTGTTTCCTTCCCTCACGCAGACTCGCACGCGGTCACCTTTGGGACCCTGCTAGCTTTTGCAGCCATGTCCACCCGTTTGTCAGCCCTCGGCCAGTGCTCCTGTGCTGCCCACACTGGTGTAACGCTGTGTGCTGTGGGCTGCTGAATACATAGGTGTGTTCCGTATTTCTGAATACATGTGAGAGGCTTTTTTAAAAGTATAGAAGTCAACATTAAGAGCATGGCCATTTCCTCCTTAATTGAGTATAATTTGAAACTTCCTTGCAAAACAGATTTTCAAATAATCTGTACCTCCCCTATTGAGTTATTCTTCAACTGTTTTAAACTCTGACAATTGGAAAATTTTTGTATACCATTTCTTCTGATACTGTCCCTGGAAAAGATTGACTCAGTGGTCAGTTCTGGGGAATTATATAACCGAATAGAGGTTCTTGACGTGAAAACATGAATACATGAACTATATGACTATTATACGTAGATTCTGAGCCACAGAAAGTTTACAGCAGGTCACATCAGGCTGTAAGGATGGCATCACAGTGAGTGATCAGTTGCCGCCACACTTCTTGTTCCATGGAGAAGTAACTGATTAACTCTCTTCTTATTTCAGAACTTTGTAATCACCAACAGTCCAAGTTGTACTGAGTTTACCAGGTTAGCGTTACGTCTATTTTGTACAAGTACCCAAGCTTCTGATAGTCCTAAATAAAGGGGACACTTAACATGAATTCAGAAAGCAAATCTATAGTTTTTTTCATAATGTTCTTCTGGTTTACAAGGAAAGAAAAAGTAGGATACAAAACAGGGATTATGGAGCAAGAAAATACAGAAAAATTGCAGGCTTTCAGTCAGTTCAGAATCAGTTTTCCCAGCCTATTTTAGACAGACAGATGTGTCTTTTTTGTTTTAATTGCAGAGTCAGGAATTGAACCCAGAGCCCTGGCCACGGTAGGAGAGTGCTTTACCACTGAGCTAATTCCAGCCCTGTATTTCATTTTAATACAAGCACCACTACTGATAAAGAATTTCTTCACAGACATTCTAATGCCTTATGCGTTTCTGTTTACTGTGATCTTAGTTAATACTGTTCCTATAAGTAGTTCCTATGAATTTTTTTGTTTTTTGTTTTTTTTGAGACAGGGTCTCACTGTGTGATTGAGGCTAATTTGAACTCACTGTGTAGCTCAGGCTGGCCTCGAGCTTGTGGCACTCTGTCCTCAGCTTCCCAAGTTCTGGGGTTGCTGGCCAATTCCTGTGATTATTAATAGCCTCACTGGATTTTTTTTTTTAGATTGTACTTAGAAGTTTCTTTCCAGGGAACCAAACTCTTGGGTTCATAAACTGTACTGTGAACCTAGTTTGGGGATACTTTTTAAAGCTAATAAAAATGAAATCATTTACCAAACAGCACAATAGTGACTCACTATTTAATGTCAGCAGCTAACTTGCTTTCAGTAGTTTTACCTTGTATTTGGGGTAAAAAAGAAAATTTAGAAAGTAAGTAGCTAACAACCTATTTTAGAAGGTAGTCATGATACCTTCATAATTTCTTTGTATAGGTAAATCATTTCTTAGGCTAACCAATTTTTTCATTACCAGGAAAGGAATTAAAAATTGTTTCCGACTCCTGAAATTCCTTGTATTTTTATCCCACATCTTTGGAAAAACGAAAAAACCCAGGAACCATTAAAAGGCATTCATACCAAAAAAAAAAAAAAAAATTGTTGCCTTTCACTGTAAAAACCTAAAATTATATAATTTTAATGAGTTTTTTTAAATAATGTAATGGTTAAAAATGTAGATTTGGCATCTGTTAAATCTGTGACACCCTGAAATTCAGTTTCTCCGTCTGTAAATAAGGGTAGAGGCTGGGTGATACAAGGTTCAGTGGTAGAGCACTTGTCTCATACGTGTGAGGCCTTTCCAGCACCACTAAAAAAAGAAGAAACAAGGTAATGATTGAAGAACTTCTGAGAAGTTGATGTGACAATTAAGTGAGTTATACATGAAGATTAAATTTGGGCATCCTGAATTCTATGAATTTCTAATCCAGTTGGTAACTTTCAAATCCAATGTTCTTAGCCTGCAGGGGAACCGCAGAACCAGGGCATGTTGATAGAAGAAATGAATGGATTCCCATCCTTCACGAAGGCACTCCTGCCTTCTTCGGAGACACAGCTAAGGCTACGGAAATCTGACAGAGTCCCCATGAATGGCGCTTCACAGAATGGCAGTTCCTCCCCTTCCAGCGTGGACTGTATAACCTCTGATCCCCGAAACCTGGGCCCTGGAGCCGTGCATGGCAGGAGGCCCAGAAGTGCATTCCCAAGTTCCCACCGGTTTCAGGTAGTCATCTCAAAAGCACCCAGTGGGGATCTTTTAGAAAAACATGCTGACTTCTTTTCTAACAAGCAATTGCCATTCACTCCACGCACTTTAAAAACAGAAGCAAAATCTTTCCTGTCACAGTATCGATATTATACCCCTGCCAAAAGAAGAAAGGATATTACAGATCCACAGATAGAAGGTGAAACCCAGACTGAATTAAGCAGGTATGGCATGTTAACAATCAGTAGCAACTCTGGGAAATTAAATGACACTTCACTAAGCAATATTCCTTGCTTTCTGATGTATATCTTATACAGTCAGGCTTTTTATTAGAGTGAGTTTAATACGTCTTTTAAACATGTCATCAAAACTATCAGAGCAGTTGTTGAAACAACAAAGAGCTATTAAATTTGTCCAATTCTTTATAAAGATGAGTGTTGAGTATTTTAATGTATTGTTTCAAAAATATCTCTTGAACTTTTGTATGCATTTAAATATTATACTTTCATAGAATTGTTAAAATGTCATTAATTAACATTTGTGTAAATATGCACATTGATTTGTTTTAAAAGTGGCAAAATAATGGAGTTAGACGAAAAACTCCACTGCTTTATCCAACTGCCCCTGTGCTCCCTAACTGGTGCAACTTAGTCATGTAGCAACAGCTGCCTGGGAATAACTTAAACAGCTGGGATAATGTCTGGAGATTAAGTGTAATTTGCCTCAATAATGTTTTCACATGTACTTATGCCTGGTACATGGTAAATACTCATTAAAAGTTTGCCCAGTGATTAGAGAAACAAACAAATCTTTTAATGTTGCATAAACAATTTATCTGGTACTAGATTTTAATTATTTTAGAAAGTAACATCTTATGTGAGTATAGAGAACAGATACTATAATTTCAAATGAGTTTATATATTTAATCAAAAGTTAAGGAATTACGTCTATGATAAAACTTGTCAAATGGGAAATACAGGAAGTAGTACAGTATTTCATTTTATGATTGTATCTGTGAATGTTACAAAGATAATAGTACCCTTTCACCTCTCCCAGTGTATATTTAATTGAAATTAATTACTATTTTAAAAAAGGAAGCATATGTAATCCAGACCCCTATTTGAAACTATGCATTTTATAAAAATAGATAAATAGATCTCATTTTCTTATGTGTAAGGGGTTTTTTTTAGGCAGGAAAGCTTGTCATCAGAGTGTTTATGTTTTGAAGGAGTAACAATCTTTCTTTAAATATTACAGTTGTCATTCTGATTTGGGAACATCTGAGATTAAGAAATTGACAGATTCAGAGGTCAACACAGAGCAGGTAATCAACATGAGATCTTTTTGTGCTGCCACATTTGAATTGCAGATGCTTTAACATACATGGGCTATGTATAGCAATTTGGACTGTGAAAAATAATCTCTTTAAGTGACGCTTGGGTATAATATAGCCAGCATACGGAGGTTTGCCTGCTTAGAAATGGTCATGGCTCTCTTAGAATGACTAAATGGATCCTACCAAATCTGGAAAAATATTTGTTGTTAGCATCTAGATGCTTGGCTGAATAGACAGATAAATGAATCAATAAAATACATCAACTATTTCCAAAGTCAGATGTAAACTGGGCATGGTGGCGCATACCTATAATCCAGCACTCAGGAGACTGAGGCAGGAAGATTGCTGTGAGTTCGAGGCCAGCCTGGGCTACAAAGTGAATTCAAGGCTGGCTTGAGCTACATAGTGAGACCCTGACACAAAAATAAAAAGTCAGAGGTGAGCTAGACATGGCGGTTTGTGCCCATAGTGCCAGCTATTCTGTAGATGGAGACAGAAAGACTGCTTGAGACCACAAATTAAGAGTCTGGAAAAACAACAACAAAAAAAAAGAGTGGCCAAGGCAATATAGTGAGAACTCACCTCAAAATATTTTTTTTTCAGTACTAAGAACTGAACCCAGGCCATTCACACTGGGCTACATCCCCAGCTCCTTTGTTTATGTTTTCCTTTTAAGACAGGATCTTGCTAATTTGCTCAGGCTGGGCTCAAACTCATAATTCTCCTACTTCAGCCTCCCAGAGTGCTGGGATTCCAGGCAGGTATCGCTATGCCTGGCTCGTTATTTAACTTTTCTTATTTCCATATTTTTAAATGAATTATCACCAATTAAATTGATGGATACCATTCTCTTAGGTTTGCCTTTACTAAAGACTATGAAGCTAATTATTACAAAATTCATATTTTGAATGCTTGGCAATCATTTTTTTTAAATACTATATCTTTAAGTCTGATATTGACACAAACTGATTTATTTTTATTTTGAGGGATATCAATTTTGTAATGTGTCCTAATTTAAATTTATTGTTTATAAAAATGGTTTGTCTATTAAAATGTCAAGTACAGATTCAGAGTATGTGAATAAAACAGAATCACACTCAGTTTCCTTCTTTATTTCTAAAATGAGCAGAAGGGGATAGGTTTCCATCTCAGCCATTAACAGCTGTTGGACATAGGGCCCTCCCACTTGAGCTCAACGACAAAACCTTTATCCTCTGAGAGCTGGGCATGCTCAGCTAGTGGAGCTGTGATTAATCTATAGTGTCTCTGGGAGGAGTAAAATAATGGGGGTGAAGTTCCTAGCCTGGTCAGGGCTTGATACATGGTAGCTGTTACTAACTTGGGTTTTATGAAAAGATAAGTTTTGAGGTAATTAAATAAACCAAAGCTGAAGCATCTTTATAACATAGTGCTCCGAAAATTCACTAACAACCCTGCAAGAACATGGCAGGGTCCCCTGCTCCATCAGGCCGTTGATTGGAGGGCACTAATAGAGCACTGACTGCATGAGGTCTGCATTTTAACCACACTTCTAAGGCCGAATGGTGCTTTACATAAATCACACTTGTGCAGATGAAATCTAACAATGAGGCTAAATGCCTGCCCAATAGGAAGAATTCTACAAAGTAAGCTGCCATTATTATGTTTTGAACATTAGTAGTTACACTGCCAGTGCTACCAGTGTTTCTACATATTTGACATAGTGACTTTTGAAACAGGATATCTGAATTTCCGAATGATAGATTTTTCTCTCACGTTTACTCAAAAGTTGTAAGTTTTCTTCATTTTTTTCTTTGTATATTTATTCACAATGATGTCTTAATGTCATTTAAAATGTTGCTTGTTAAAACATAAGAAGCTTTACTTTACTTTAAATAAATTTAAGGGAAAACAGTGCAAGTCAGAGGGAAAAATTACTCCACAACGTTTTTTGTAATAACATATCATTCACTTTTACCCATTGGATTCCTTTATTCATCTTTTAAAACTTATTATGCTTTGTTTTCATATTGTATTTTTGAAGCATAAAGGTTTATTCTTTTGTTACATCCCCAGGCATCTAATTATATGACATATGGGACCAAAGAAAAATTAACCCCTTTGTCCTTACAAGGACATGACTTGACATGGGATGAAATCAAAGACAGCGCTCCGCGGCCTTCCTCACAAAGGTAAAGAGTGTGCAGGAGAAATATTTCAGCTATCTTTATCTTAACTGCTTTCCTGTATAAATAGATATATAGTATTTACTATATAAATACCATTTTAATTATATGCTCTAATCTATTTTACTCTTATACAATTCTTCAGTAGTAGTGTTAGTTTTACTAAGGAAATTTTACAAAGTTAGGTGCTCAGTAAAGGTTTCAGTGAATTGCTTGCCAATTCATTAATAAAGGGAAAAGGGACCCTGGCTTGCACTGTTTTTAGTTACTACTCATATGAAAAAGGACTTTTCCCATGACAAGTCCTCTGGCAGTGGTGCTAACCAGTGTACATGGCACGCATAGGATTGGTGACCCTCACTATTTGAGAAGCCATAATTTGTGATTTTGAGTGTTTCCCATGTTCCAGTGCATGATCTGTCCATGCCATGTGGAGGACTCTTAAAGTCTCACCAGCTCTGGTGTTACACACCTATCATACACCTACTCAGAGACCAAGGCAGGAGGATTACAATTCAGAGACCAACCTGGGCAATTTAGCAAGACCCTCTCTCAAAATATAAAAAAGAGAGAGAGACAGAGACAGAGAGAGTAAACGGGCTGGGGTTGTAGCTCAGCACAAGAGGGCTCGCCCAGCACGTGAGAGACCCTGAGCTCAATCTGCAGTAATAAACAACAAAAACTGTTTATCACATTTGGCAGTTATGGGACACAACACCTAAACAAAAAAGATTGGTTGGCAGGTGGTCAAGAAGCTAAAAGATGCCATCGATAGTTTCAGCTATCAAATTTCCAGTGTTCAAAACTGGATAGGAGATGAAGGAAGTAGAAGAAAAGAGCAGACATTCAAAAAGGCACAGAAGGGCTGGGGATTTAGCTCAGCGGCATAAGTGCCTGCCTTGGAAGCAGGCAGTCGTGAGTTCAATCCCTGGTACTGATAAAAAGACAAAAAAAAAAGGTCGCAGAGGAAGCGTTAAAGGGCAGACTGGAAGCCAAGTGTTCAGATTCCCTCAGGGCCCAGCGTGGCCCTCAGGCCGCTGCGGGAAGTTGTCACCTGCTAAGGCCACACAGGAATTTGTTGTTTCCCTCTTTGGAATTCATGGTGCCACAGCACACAGCATTGGTGCTGCTCTTGAGCCATTCTGTATTAAAAAATGGTCCAAAGAAAAGAACATTTATCTTTTCTAGTAGTTTCTACGTAAAAGAAATAAACTATTATAATTGTGTATATTTGAATAAAAAATCTTGGGAGAACTGAATAATGAAAAAAATGTATAATAATGAGTAGTTTAACAAAAATTTCCAAAGGAAGGTATGTGTTTAGCATTATTTATATGTTAACCTTAGTCAAATTGTCATTGTTTAATCCTAGGCAAGTGCTATAGTATCATTGTTTTAAGGGTAGTGAGTTTGTAATCAGAAAAATAGTTTAAAACCTGTCACTACTGCCTCTGACATCAACCTTGGCAAGTTTCTTGGCCCCTCTGAGCCCTGGATAACTCAGTAGCAAACCGGGAAAATAATACCTAGCATACATACCCCACTGGATTGTTTAGAAGATTAAATTAGATTATGGATATAAAAATGCTTTAAAAATTCTAAAACACATTACTACTATTATAAAATATTATTGGAAACTTATTGTTTTGCTAAAATATCTTAATTTTCTTCTTATAGAACAGTATGTCAGTATTCTGCACAGCGTCCTTGGGAGAATAAAATCTCCAAGTAAGATCTTTTTGACCTCTTTATTTTGTTTTAATGGGAATTAAGAGTTAAGAATCACAGAAACCATTATAAAATCAGGCAAGATCAAACATGTTCTCTGTTACAACCAGCTTTGGAGTGTTAATCATATAATACAGGCTGCATTGCAGAAAATGATCAGAATTTTCTGGAATAAGTGTCAATCTTGTTTATTTTCAGTAGAAATTGGTCCTAAGTTAATAACTACTATTTTTAATATTTAGCACCTCTAATTCTGATTCCTTTCTTTGGTGCCAGGAATTGAACTCAGGACCTTGTGCTTGCCAGACAGGCCCTGTACCACTGCCCTCATTCATTTTATAAATTAAGAATTTTAGAGAGATTTTTAGTAGCTTAGGAGCTCAGGAAATTCTTCCTGGTGGTTCTGAACCTGCTCACTTCTTTGGACATGCTACAATTCTAAGTTTTAATGTTGTTTTCATTATTTTTTCAAGAAAATATTTTATAGAGTTCCATTTATTCCTAAAAGTGGCTGTTTTTAAACAAGATCCTGTGACTCATTCAGAAATCACTTTTTATAGACCATTTTAATCAATTATCTGATTTACATTTTGCGCTTCATTTTCTATTTGCTTATTCAGTTATTGAGTACTTATTTATATTTTCTATTAATTCACTAGTTTCAGGTAATAATCAAATTTACAGTAGTGCCCTTCTTTTCTTTCTTTTTTGTTTTTTTGATACTGGGAATCAAACTCATGACCTCACACTTGCCAGACAGGTGCTTATGCCACTGAGCTAAATCCCTAGTCCTCCTACTTTTCTTATAATAGCTACTAAAATAATTATCTCATAGAATAGCATAATAAAGAAATGTATCCGAGTAATTAAAAATTACCACCATATTTTTGTTCACAAATTATCATACTAGAAGGATTTTTTTTTTCTTCAAACATTTTTTGGGGGAAAAAACTGCACAGTGAAAGCTTCCCTGGCGTCTTCCTGTTGCCTCCTGAAAGCTCGGAGGGTGGGGAGCAGGGCTGGGTAGTGGTACTCGTGGCTTCTGCTGCTGAACACGATCAGAAGTAGGAGATGCAAAGTGCTGGTTGGGAACACAGCTCGCGGGCTCTTCTGGTTGCTCTCGCCCTGGGTGGTTCTCCTTTGTCTTTTATTTGTCTTTACATTTATTCCTATGGAATTGCAGATAGCTATGAAATATTATTCTAGTGGGTATTACTTTCTGCTTTTTAGTGTTTATAATACCCCCCTTAAAACTTACAGAAGTATTTAGTAGAAATAGACATTTCTGACCTGTGTTTCCTTTAGTCTTCAGAATAAGTAAGCAATAATTTTTATGCTCTGTGTCACCATTCCTTTGCAGTGAAGAAGAGCTGTTGTATTTGAGCTTCATTGAAGACATAACAAACGAAATTTTGAAACTTGGTTTATTTTCCAGCAGGTCAGTTTTTTTTAAATTCTATTACAGGAGTTGTGTACATTATTTTTCATATGATGTTAGTGTTAGGAAGTTATGTTGCTTTTTTAAGATCATATTCTTACAATTGACAGCAAATTGTACATCATTTTTAATTCACACCCTAGGGCAAGTTCGCAGTGTGGGGAAGTTATAGAAAAGAATAAAATCCTGGCTCATCTAAATATGGTTATAATAAATCAGTAAAATAAAATTTTTTGCTTCTGATTTGCAAGGCTTCATAACCCCATCTTGCTATGTAAAACTGTTAGGAGAACCAAAACCAAGAATTTTTATTACAGCTGACTGGGTGTGGTGGCTCACACTTGTAATCCCAGCCCTTGGGAGGCTGAGGCAGGAGCATTGCCCCAAGTTCGAGGACAGCCCGCCATACATAGGGAGGGTGTAACCAGCCTGAACTACAGTGTGAGACGCTGTCTCAAGAAAAACAAAAAGGATTTTTTAAATTGCAACTGTTAGGATTAGATCTAGTAAAATGAAGTTTAAAACGTAGATTTGTACACTGTAAGTAAAGTAGAAAATTTTCAAAGGCAGATTAGGTATGGCATATCTTAAGGAAACTATCTTGAATCTAGCATCCACATTTATGTCCCTAAAATTCACAGGGCACTAAGTCCCACTTCATAGTATGTAACCGAGGACTCCAAATATGTATTCTGCATATTTTCTCCAAGTGCATCTTAATTCCAGTGAGTTATTTCTATCTCCTATTTCTATAACTTTTTTAAAATTAAAGCAAACATCTTTATTATAAGAATAAAAAAGTGTACAGTGTGAAAAAGACCTAAATTTTAGGGAATAAAATTTTGATTTAAAAAGTTGGCCACAGCCAGGGATGTAGCTCAGCAGCACAGCACCTGCCTAGCAAGCGCAAGTCACAAGTTCAGTTCCCACTACAAAAGATAAATAAGAAGTTGGCCAAGAAACTGTTTGTATAGTGGGTATAGAGTTTCTTATTTGCCAGATGAAAAGGGTTTGGCAATCTCTTTCATAACACTGTACACATACTTAGCACTGGTGACTGCACGTTTAAAAATGGCCCACAGGTTGGCTGGTAGCTCAGTGGTACAGCCCTTGCCTGGATGCACAGGACCCTGGGTTTCATTCCGAGCACCATGAAAAACAATTTTTAAGGAAAAAATGGACAAGCTGGTTCTGGTGATGCATACCTGAAATCCCAGCACTTGAGAGACTGAGGTAGGAAGATCTCTACAAGTTCAAGGTCAGCTTGAACTACAAAACAGGACTCTGTCTCAAAAAAGAAAATATAGTTATAGATAGTGAATTTTCTTATGTTTTTACCAGGAAAACACAAAAAGAGCCTATGTAAACCATATGTATTTATACCTCAAATTTTACCTATTTACTAAAGAGAGTATATGACTTTATTACAGTGTTTTTAAAAATAGTACCAAAGAACAAAACTAACCTAAATGTTGAATACTAAAATTACGTTAGATAAATTACAGAGCATTTATGAGAGAGAGAGAGAGATTCAGTGATTAAAAATCATGTAGAAGTGAGTTTATTAATAAAAATGGTTTTTGGTTTTTGGTTTTTGTTTTTCCTGTTACCGGGGATCAAGCACAAGACCTAGCACTTGCCAGGCAGGTGCTTACGCTGCTGAGCTAAATCCCCGGCCCAAAGACATTTAGGATACACATGATTGAGTCAAAAAATAGGTACCCAAGACATATGTGTTAAATATAGAAACATGTCTAAAAATGTTGGCCCTATCTGCAGGTTTTGGAGCTTTTAAATTTTGTTAAATAATTTAAAACTACTATAGATTGGCTCAGTTGTCTTTCAAGAAGCTTGCTGATTATTAATGTGATAGACAAGTGTGAGGAAAGGTGAAGAGGTGAAGACCACCTTCTCTGCAATCAGGCTCCTCGAGTTTAAATTTTCTTGATGGTTGTGAGCTTTGGACAGGTAAAATCATTAGAGATGTGGTATTCTCATCATTAAAGGTTTTTTTATAGCACCTTTCTCTCCTGACACTGGTCAGGGAATAGAGATAAATTATTTTTATGTGGCTAGCACTTAGTGATACCCAGTAAGTACTCATTGCTAGGTTAGTATATAAACTTACTATTCGTGGTATTTTTTCCAAGTGTAATTCAGGAAGCATTGTAAAATCCCACCACAGGAGGATTTTCTCTTGTGTTTAGTTCCGACTGTGAATGCATGCAACAAAATGAAACAGAGGCAGACAGGGGTTTGGGGTGTTCGCCCGGATGTGTGCGTCAGCATGAGGTAGGGGCAAGCTTTGGGGATGTGCAGAGAATTTCTAGGCCTCGTGAAGCCATCAGTTTCCATGCCACATGCATACCCATGTTCATAGCAGCACACTTCCTAGAAGCTAAGTCTTAGAAGCAGCCTGTGTGTCCATCAGCAGGTGGATGGACAAAAAAAATTTACACACAATAGAGTCCTACTCTGCCATAAAGCACGATAAACTTGACTCAGTGGCAGGAAAATGGGTGCAGCCTGAGCCATAACGTTAAGTGAAATGAATCAGACACAAATACTGCATGTTTTCTCTTATATGAGAAACCCAAAGTATAAATAAGGAGCAAAAGCAAAGATAACAGGAAACAGGGAGCTAGCTCTTCCTCAGATGGAAACGAAACGGAAGGAAGAGATGGAGGAAGGGAAGAGAGGAAAGGAAAAGGGAAGGAAACAAGGGATTAAGACCCGTTATGTACGTGTGCCAACTCCGCACAAGGACTGTAATCGTTACGTACTGCAAACGTGGGCATCATGATGGACGCTGTTTCATTCACAGGCAGGGGAGTAGCGTACACTCTGTCAGCAGCGTCAGCCTCTGGAAGGAAATGAAAGCAGGCTCCTGGTGGGAGCCAAACCACATGTTCTCTTTCACTCAGCAGCGTGTGACTGCACTTTTATAATAGCACAAAAAATGAAGAGCTTAAAAGAGAAAGGAAGCATTAGTCTTCAGCTTTAGAAGGAAAAAGACTAAAAAATATTTCCCAGCCTTTAGTAGTTTGAACATTGCATAACAATTTAATATTGAGTTGGCTTTCTGGCATTTACCATTTTATTTGTCACTTGTAGGTTTTTAGACCGACTATTCGAGCGACATGTAAAAGAAAATAAACATCGTTTGAAAGAGGTTTGTCTTTTCTTAAAGCTTCATCAGAAAAATTCTAAAGCAAAAATCTTTTTAATTTTTTCATGGCCTCAAAGAATAGATTAAAACAAGCATTTTTTCCCCCTTGCAGTTTTTGTGGGGGTGGGAAGCAGAGGGAATGGAAAGGAAAATATTCTGCTGAAGTCAGTAGCCCTGAAGACCACATTGACTTAGTTTGATTAGCTTAACTAATGTAATTTTTCTCCTAATTATGTAATTCTCTTAATCGTAGGAAAAAATGCGCCACCTGCTGCATGGCCTGAAAATAGACTTAGGCTGCATATCGGAGGAAAACTCAGTAAAGCCAAAGGATTTCAAGATGTTGAACTCATTTGAGTTTGAAAGGGTCATGAATTCAGAGCCGAGTGGCCTTAGAAACGAACAGGACATAGCACTTCAACAGGAGCACCAGCAGTACCAAAATGCTCTGAATATGTTGTTGTGTGCACCAAAGAATGAAAACGAGATGCCTTCTTCACACGGTGAATTTGTCCTGCCTCTCTGTAAATCCCAGTACTCACCCGGAGTTATAGTTCAGCAGGTAAACGAGGAAGCAAACCTTGACCCTTCAACGTGGGATGAAAACACTTCAGGTATTTCAGACAGCTTGAGAGACCACGAAACTTCTGTGAACGTCATCGAAGATGACAGTGACACTGAGAAGGCTGAGACGGCAAGTGAGTGGAGCTGTCAGGGCACTTTACTGTCCCGGTCTGTTCAGTCTTACGGTGATAATAATCATGACAAGGAATTACCAAGGCTTAAAATCATGGAAATGAGCATTTAAGATGACTGCCCTTGGATACTCGATCATCATTAATAAAGAGCCCACCTGGCCAAGTAACTCAATATCACTTTTCTCCATTTTTTAATTTTCCATAGTAAAATTTCTATACTAATTTTCTAGGCTGCATAATAAATTGAGATAAACTTGGCGATGTAAAATGTCTCACCTTTGTTGTTTATCCCAAGTCTCCGAGGATCATGAGCATGCTTACCGTAGGGGGTCCTCTGCTCTGGGTCTCAGAGAGCAGCAGGCAAGGCAGCAGCCAGGACCGTGGTCTCATCCAGAGGCTTCCCTCAGGAGGATCCTCCCCCAGGCTCTGCAGCTGGTGGCAGAATTCCGTGCCTGGCAGCTGTCTAAGAGCTCCATTTCCTGCTGACCGGCGGCCAGAGGCTGTGCAGCTCCCTGCTACGTGGCTGTCTTTAGGCAGATTATACACTGCTCGCGTGTTCAAGGCTGAGAACACAAGATTCTGCTGACGAGATGGAGTCTGAAGTCACTTAACATAGCTAGGATTGGCTTTCCAACACCCCGCCATATTCTTCTGGTTAGAAGCAAGTCATAGGCCTCGTCCAGGTAGGGGTGGCAGATATTATACAAGGCTGTGAATGCCAGAGGTGAGCATCACTAGAGTCACCTAAGGATCTATTGGCCACAATTTCTAGAGTAGCTCCTCCCAGGCCTAAGTGGTTTTGTGGGCAAAGAGAAATGGTGGCTGGCGTAATCCCGGTTACTGGGAGAAGGAGGCCTTTTTTTCACACAGCTCTGCCAGTATGTTATTCGTTGATTTTTTGATGATAACCGTTCTTTCTGAAGTGAGATGGAATCTCAGTGTTGTTTTAATTTGCATTTCTCAAATAATTGGTGATGTTGAACACTTTCTCATATATTTATTTGACATTTCTACTTCATCTGAGAAGTGTCTATTCATTTCAGATGCCTATTTTTGGATTGGGTCTTTAAATTTGGGGGGGTTTTGGTTGTTGTTGAGATTAGAAAAAAAAATTTTAGTTCTTTGTATATCTTCATATATTCTAAGTATTAGTCCTTAGTCTGAGGAACTGATGGCTGACATTTTTTCCCATTCTGTGGGTTGTCTCTTCACTCTGTTGATGGTTTCTCTTACTGTACAAAAAGATTTTTAATAAGATCAGATTCCAGATGTTGATTCTGTGATACTTCCTGTGTGATCAGAGTTTTGTTCATAAAGTCTTTACCTTCACTCTTGTCTGCAAGAATTCTACTATTCTCTCTTCCAGAAGATTTAGTGTTTCTCTTTTAATATTTAGATCTTTGATCCATTCGGATTTTAGTTTAGTGCATGGTGAAAGACATGGGCTAGTTTTAATCTTCAGCATTGGAAAGCCAGTTTTTCCATCCCCATTTATTAAGAGGCTGTCTTTCTTCCAGTGAAAATGTTTGCTCCTTTGTCAAAGATAAGATGGCTGAGTGTGTTTGAAGTTTTTTTCTGCATTTTCTGATTTGTTCCATTGATCCTTGGCCTCTTGTTCCACTCTGCCAGTCCATTTCTTTTGATTATTGAATTGAGACCATTAACATTGATGGTTCTAACTGATTTGTATTGACTTATCCTTGTGTTACTTTCCTGTTGTTGGTTCCCTTTTTCCCCTTCTGTTTAATTGCTTACCTTGCCTGGTGGATTCATTCTGTTGGGCTTCATAGAGTTGTGGTCCTTGTTATCGCATTCTAGAGTGTCCTTCAGAACATTTGGAGTATTGGTTTGGTACTCATGAATTTACTAGGGTATTATTTGTTATGGAAGTATCTTATTTTTCCATCAATTTTGAAAGATAGTTTTGCAAGGTACATCATCTGGGTTGGAAGTTGTTTTCTTTTAGAACTTGAAATACTTCAAACTCTCTTAACTTGAGGCTTTGTGTTAAGAAGTCTGCTGTGATGCTAATGGGCTTTCCTTTGTAGGTGACTTGTTTGTATGTTTTTGTCTAACAGCTTTTAATATCCTGTTGTTGTGTTAAATTTCTGGAATCTTTACTATTATATGCCTTAATAAACATTTTTTTTTACCACGACTAATAGAGTTCTGTATGCCTCATTTATCTGAATGTCAAATCCTTTTTTTCCTGCTTCTGTGAACAAGTTTTTTACATTATTTGTAGTATCTTCTGATCAATCTTATCTTGTTGTTCTTTGCATCATCTGGCAGCATCTGATTTTTCATGGTCCCTTGCTCTTTTTAAGAAATTCTCCTTTTTTGTGATCTCAGTCCTAATCCTCTGCATCTGATATTCTGTTTTCACATTGACTTGTTCTGCTGCATATACTTTTATTGTAATTGTAATCTCCTGGATATCTGAATCTGTTTCATGATTCCATTTCTTTCCTGTGTTGGGCACTCATAGTTTCTATCATTTTCCTAAGCTCCTCTATTTTTTTTTTTATCTGAATCTGCTCTGTAGTCACTAACCATGTCTTTCATTATGCTCACCATTTCTATAGTTACCTGAGAAATTACTTCTAATGTGATTTTTTTTCTAGAGCCTCATGCACCTGCTTTGTTACTTCTGTTACCATTTGAGAGGCTCCAGATGGGGGCTTTGAAATTATCCCACCTCATCAACCCATGAATTTGCCTTTAGTGAGCTAGAAGTCTAGGGTTGCATCTTGCTTGTGTCTTCTCATTTTCTAGTTTTTTTTTTTTTAATTCCTAGGTTGATGCTTATAAATTACTTACAGAAAGTAGCTTCCTTGCTAGTGTTTAGAAACCTTAGGAAATGACTATTTCTCAGAGATGCCTTACAGATATAGCTGGCTTTTGGGTTTTGCATCTGTTGCAAAAGCCAGCCTCTTCAGTGTATTAGGGATGAGAAGTTGCTGCCGGTTTGGCCTACCACCTGATTCTTTGGCACTGGCCTATAGTGTTTTTTATGACTCTTAGGCAATCTGTCTTGGTATAGCAGGAAGAATAATTATGTCACCTGGCTAAAGTGGTACATTCAACAGTAACAAATACAACATCAAACACAGCCTACACACTGACGAACCAAGGTAACTATTAATTTCCTGCCTTAATTGTATGAAATAGATTTGTGATTATATAAAAAATCTAAATCCAGAAAATTGCATATAATATTTATGCCCTCACTGTGGCAATTTTACTGTAAGGAGAGAAAACTTAAAAGCGGCTGGGCGGGGGGGACCTAGGGAAGCAGAAGAGGAGGAAGACGTTAGAAGCAGTGCTGGGAAGACAAAGGAAGATTACACAAACGGAAAACTGAAGAAGAGGAAGGAAAGAGAGAAGGAAGAAATAACAAAACAACAAAAACTGGAAACAATATTCACACACAAAAACAAGAACAATCAAAAAATGAAAAGAGAAAGTCCACATCAAGGTATGTCTCTTCTGTCACATAGATAAAGTGAGCAGAATCCAGATCTGTGTTAATTTTAGCAAGCTAGCGGTAGCGGATAATCCCAGCAAGTCTGTTCCTGTAGTTTCACTGAAGTTCAGGCCGATTGGTGGTGAGGCTGGAACCTGATTTGTTGAACCTGCAAAACTCCATGTGCCTCCGACTTGAACTTGGCTTCCTGCAGCTTAAACTGCTCCTTGGTCTCCTGCCAACTTGAAATCAGTTCCACCTCTCCCCAACACTGGGAACTTCTAAATGGAGCCACCCACCGCTGCTCTTGAGTTCCAGACTGAATCCAAAGTCCAAGAGACTGAACCCAAATAAGTAACCGACCACTGCAATCTCCTGCATACACTGCTCTGTTGTACCAATGCACTTCATGGAGGCCTCTGAGGTGGTCAGTAGTCACCATGCATCTTCAGGCTCACGCCACCCCGATCACAGAGTGAGCCAGGCTCAGGGAGAAACTGCCAGTTGCCAGCCTCCTCCTCCTCCTCCATTGCCATCTCTCTGCTCTGCCCATGGGCTTCAATTCTCTCTATAGATCCTTGCTGAGTGCCAGGGACCCACTTTCCTCCTCCACTTCCTCGTGTTGCTATACTCCAGTTTCTGGACACCAAATCTCAGAAAGACTTTCTCTGCTGCTCACCACTCCATCATCATCCTCTCCCTCATCAGTGCAAACTCCTATCAGACCTGTGGGACACCCTCCCTTCTCTTTTAGTACAGGCATGAGATCCTTGCTATTAAGACACATTCTAAGACATTCACCTCTCCTCCTGTCTTGTCCAACATTTATAACAGTATAATTGAACACTGAGTGCCTAAAGTGTACTAAGTTTCATAGCTAGGAACTCGAGAGAATCAAAAGTGAAACGGTTTTAGTAACCTTAAGGATTTTTCAAAAAACAAGGTATTTTTCTAGAAACTCAGAAATAGCCTCCAGCTGACTAGGTTTTCCTCATCCATCAGTCTTTGGCCCTCTGGTTGCTTCTGGAACCCTCTCCTCGCCCGAGGACTCATTTCTTCTGTCCCAGCCTCACTTTCTCCCACTTCACAGCCCGTTATCCCTGTAACCTCAGACCCCAGCTCAGATTCCATCTCCGTGCCTGGAGCTGCAGTCTTAAGTCATTCTCGGGAACAATTCTCTCAATGCCCTTCTCCACCCTTTGGACCAAGCCCCAGACCAGCTGCTTCATGTCCTGCTTTGATGTGTTCAGTCTCTTTGCTCAAACTGACAGTAGCTTTTCATCCCTAGCGCCATGACTCATCCTAACTTTTGTATCCCGTAGGGAACTTACTCTCTGGCTGTCTTACTTTTTAACTTGTTTCTGAGACAAAATACTTGATGACCAAAGTTAGGGAAGGAAAAGTTTATTTCTTACAGTTCTTGGAGGTTTCAGTCCATATTCAGTTAGCTCCAAGGCAGGGTGGCATGGTGGGGCCTGCAGTTCATGGCGGCCACAAACACCAACGAGGAAACCAGCAAAAGAGACATGCCTTCTTCCTGCCATTACGTTGTATGCTGGCTCCACCCCTATGTGGGTGTAGCACTGACACCATCAATCCAAGTGCTAAACAATAAACCAATCACAAATGCACAATGCTAATGCATGAGACCTGAGGGCCACCGACATCAACCATGACACTGCCTTACCTTAAATATTGTTTTAAATGAATTGATGTAAAGAATTATGAAAAGTGGTTCTTGGACATGGCAAAAATTGTGTAAGAGTAGACTATGTGCAGTAAGTTTGGGAACACTGGCTTGA